TTTCGTAAAATGTCAAACATACACCTACATAACATTTCTTGCCATAAAAGGGTTAAAAACGTTTGATGCGTTGTTTACGCTTCAATACAGTTCACAAAACATGAGATAAACAAACTAATAATAAACTCGTGAAAGCCGAAACAGATAAGAAGACGAAGTATCTGGACCTGGCTCACGAGGTGACCGACATGTGGGGTGGTGTGCCGACCGAAAGTATCCCGATAGTCGTGTCTGCGAATGGGTTGATCCCAGTCAGCCTCTCTAAACATCTGAGGCGACTGGGACTCCGAGACGGATCGCTCCAGGCTCAAATGCAGAAGGCGGTGCTCCTCGATACCGCCCGCATCGTCCGCCGGTTTCTCTCCCTTTCGCCCTAACCCTCGGCCGTTTGGTCTCCCCTGCCCCTGCCGAGGGCTTCCGTCTGTATGGGTCCTATTTATATATGTATTATATAAAATATTTATATATATATATATATATATATATATATATGTTTATTTTTATCCATAATATTTATTTTATATATGCAATATATATCTATATCTTTATTTTTATTTTTATTTATAAACCCAACCAGACGAGAAAACAAATGAATATCCCCCCATAATAACTTAAAAGTAGTGAAATGATGGAAATGAAAATGTATCATAAAACTAGCTGCTGCCCGCGACTACGTCTTCGTAGAATAGGCTGAAAGCGTAAGATTCAGACAAAAAGACAGATATACATAAAATATGTATATGAATTATAGCCTAAGTTTCATTAAAATCCATTCAGTAGTATTTGTGTGAAAGAATAACAAACATCCATCCATACATACAAACTTTCGCCTTTATAATATTAGTAAGGATAGCAATATAAGAGCTTTGAGTTTTCTTTCGCTATTTATAATATAACAATACTAAACTAAAACCTAAACTAAAGCTGGTCATTAAATAGAGAAAAAGATGTAAGTGTTTCATAGCCAAAAACTCGGATAAATTTCCTTTATCATTCATATGTGCTAAAGTATATACAGAGTGACTACGGTATACATCCACATATGCTTCGAAACTGAACTAAACATTTGCAATTGCAAATCTCAGCGCACGCTGCATTTCGTAATAGTGTTCCCGAGAAGAACGTGGACGCTATTTACGAATCTCACAAAGGACTCGCATTCCGAACACGTGGGCAGCGGGCTGGTGCATTTTTGCGGCGCTAAAAGGACCGTTCGCGGGTCCCCTTAATTTGCATTCGCACGGCCGTCGAGACGCGGGGAACTGCGACCGCGATGATCGTAAAATTACATATGAACGGTTAACCGCCGGCGCCACACTTCTGTGAACAATGAAACGGCATGGAAATGGCGCCAAACGCTAAATCATAGCCCGTGCACGCTCGGAGCATAAAACTTCGTCCCGCGCCCGCCTTGCTGTTTACGAGACGCGCCCGTCGCGTCTCACAAAAGACTCAATAATTCCACGGCACGCACTATTATCATGCAAGAGGGCATTATCATCATAATTCAAGACAATTAGTCGACTCTTGAAACGTAAACGCCCGTGTAAATCGCCCTATTTTTGAAGACACCTTACGAAAGCTTAACACATTATATATTTCTAAAAGACCTTGCTTGTCTGGCTGGTCCGTGTGTTGATAATTCTATTCGTCCTCTACCCACATTGTCAACTTAAACGAACGACAGTGTGTAGTTAGAGAGTATAACTATCCCAACTATGTATTTCACGTTAATCTTAAACTTTGAAACGATAATATCGTTCTCGTTAACTCCGTCGCCCTTTATGAGTCGGCGTCATATTTCAGTCTCATTATTGCAGTCGGATGGCCGCGATTGCTCCTCTAAGTGCAGTGGATTCAACGCAATAAAATTCTACAAGCATCTGAACTCCTTTTATTAACTGGCATTGCGACGTCTCAAACGACTCACAACTAAATCTGTAACATTCCGCCAAAGCACAGTCATACATTAAAACTAGTATATACCACAGCGAATGGAAATATTTCTGACTTCTGTATATTTCTAAATATTATTACCTAATAATAAATCAAATGTTTCAAACAATTTTTAAAGAAACATCAATATTTAATGTTTATAAACAAATCTTTCGGAATATTGTGACGTGTATATTTTCTTCGCTCTTGTGATTTATCTCCGCGTGTTAAAATGATAATCAATGGAAATGATATTTACGCAAAACGTCAAAAATGAATCAGAACTTCCGCCAAATAAAAGCAGCGGGCAGTAAAAAATTTAATTTCGAGACGCGTTTAAAATTCAAAAACAATATTTCAATTCAGGCAATCATCTTGTGTTTGGGACCCAGGGCCAAAGCCTGCTTAATAAACGAGCCACCGACAGTGTCATTCTGATCAAATAAAACTCAAATATCGACAAAATTCTTTCGAAAACGACGATTGTCTTCAAATATCACCCAACTTTACTTTTGACGTTGACGTTCTAGAAAATAGAGATTATATTTGGATATTTTTGTACATTCCACAATATTACTTGCAAGTCATAATAATGTAAACGCGAGTCAACCATTCGGAGGTTACTGCACCGCCGCAACTTTTACCCGGCAAAAACAATACCAACTGTCTTAAACAGACATTTCTTACGAGCGCGGTGTGTTCTCAGTTCTCGCCGAATTTGCTTAGAGCGCCCGCACGGCCGGCGCCAGTCTACTTTCCAAATAGCCTTCGCGTCTCGCCTGTGACCTTTTACGCGTGCGCCTTATAGGCACAGCCCCACTCCTAGCCACGCTGCACCAACGCGATAACCCGAGTGGACTACACAAACACGCCATAATACGGCTGGTAAGAACCGTTGTCACGTGCTATTGAACACAACGGCTATAATAAGAGCACGACAGCAATAGTAGGTATATCAAACTTTATATGTACTAAACAAAAGATAACGATAAGGGTTCGTCGACATGCAAAGCCACCCACTTCTTGACGTATGTATATAATGTAGTAACCCAAGCTTGTACCAAAGACTTACCTATACCACCCCCCGTTAAACTCTTGCACAGCCCATTACCATGAGTTAATAAAGTCAAATATCTAGGCGTCGTCCTCGACTCCCAGCTTAAATTCACCCAGCACGTGACCCAGGTCAGGAACCGGGCGGCCTTCGTACTCGGTCGCCTCTACCCACTCCTCAATAAAACGTCTAAAATGTCCCTTCGGAAGTGACCTTATATAAGGCAGTAGTTCGCCCTATCATGACGTACGCGAGCCCCGTCTTCGCTCACATTGCTCCGAAGCAAGTACACCGGCTTCAGGTGATTCAAAATCGATTCTTGCGCAGAGCCACGGGAGCACCCTGGTTCATGCGCAATATCGACCTACATGTCGATCTAGAATTGCCCACCATCGCGCAATTCCTGAAGTCGGCATCGCGCCGATATTTCGATTCCGCCGCCGCGCATCCCAACCCACTTATCGTAGGTGCCGTCACCTACAGGCCCTTGCCGCTAAATATTTTCCGCCGCGATTACCGAAGACCGCGTCACGTTCTCGACTTCCCTGACGATGAGATGACTATCGCCATCGAAAGGATCAAAAAACTCAAGAAACACACCAACACACACCGCACTCGCCGGCGAGTGCGGCAAACATATACTAGGTTCCGCCACGTACCTGGCAGGTTTTCCCCTATTAATGATAGAAGCGTTGCTGGAGTTTCTTCCGCCACTTCTTCTCCCAGCGCCAACGCTCTCCGAAGTGGTAATAATGTTAGCTCTAGTAATTCCCCCAGTCAGATAATAGCTACCGATCGAGCCAAGGTCCGGCCCTCTCGGGCACCCTCGAATCGGAATGCTAACCGCGTGCTGAGTGACAGCCCAAGCCGAGGTCCCCTCTCGGGGACCCTTGAGCCTGATCACTCCATGGAGCGCCCGCCAAAGCGCCCTAAGAGCTTGGCGGCCTCCCAAACCGGTAATAATAATAGCGTGACGGCCCGAGCCGAGGCTCCCCCGGGAGCCCTCGAGCTTAGTCACCATAACGCGTAATAGTACGCCAAGGTTCAGGCTAGGCGCCTTGTGCGCCAGGCTACCTCAAGTCCGCCGGATCTGTAAAGGCCCCTAAGGCCAACAGTGGCTCATCCAGCCCAAAAAAAAAAAAAAAAAACCCAAAGACTCGTCCTATTCGATTTTCATGTTGCCAAGTTTGTTTTTCTCATAAAGTATATTTGATATCTCGCTGAGCCTCTAGAATTGAACCCTTAAAACTACTTTACACACACACATCGTTTATTTATTTATTTATTAGGTCTGCCAGTAGATGTTACATTAAAAACAATATTACATGAAACATGAATAAATGTTACAACTAAATGTACATCTAATTAAGAGGCAAACACAGCATGCTTAAAAATTAAAACAAAAAAATTAATAAAAAACTTTTTAAAAAAAGCTTTACATACTGCTTTATTAATGAAACGACACGCTACAACCACAATCGGATAGTTTTACAATTAATTGAGCTAACTCAGGGGATCTAGACGTTCTGATGTCACACATTTTTGCAATCACAAGTATGTGAAAGCGTAAACAGGGAGTCTGTTTACCTGGCCATGTTGTGGATATTCCTAGCCCCTTCAGAATCTGCTACAAGCTCTTAGTGTCAAGTAACAGGCTGATAGATGAAAACGCAAGCGTGCGTAATTTCAGACGCGCCTAGATAGTCCTCAGGCGTCGGTCGCGCCTTCATCGTATCGTATGGAGCGATATCGGCCGAAGTGGACGTGTTAGCGGTCGCATTCACAACAGCGCTGGTACACGTTGTAGCTTCGTTAAAAGTTTCGCATTTGAGCGGCCAATATCGACTTCTAATCTAGAAATACAGTACACTCGTATTAAAGGGGAATTGCATTGTGTATAGCTATTACAAGATTTCTTTTATATTTCTCACGCCATCATGTAAAAAGTTTACAATCGGAGTCATGTTCGCAAAGAGAAGAAAATAAATAAGCCGAGGCGCGAATCCAGCATATGAGGGATATAATGAATAGTGCTTGCTCCAGCGGTGATTGCGGTAATAACGTCACGAAGCGCTAAAACACTGTGATTAGGAAAGAGCCTTTCGAAACCCGCGTACAATTGGTTGTCGTTGGTGGAAGACAATTACATTTAAGTGCAAAACAACAGTGGCCTTTGAACGTCGAGATGCGCGAAAGTTGGCCGTCAGAGCTCGGCGGAGCGTCGCGGCGTCGGCCTTAGGCGTTTCGAAACACCGTGCGGGTGATATTTGTAATCGTACGAGGCAACGGCGGCAGTATAGGAGCACGCGCGACGCGCCTGTCCGCCAGGCGCCGCGGCGGCGTCAACGCGCTTTGTTTGCGCACCGCGTGCGTTCTCTATTTACGCAATCCGGGGCGATTCTCACCGCTTCCATTTGCCCGCTCTATTCGTTAGTGAGCTTCGAAAGCCCGACCTTGACGGATCACAGCAGACACTCAATGTCAAACTAATGGCAAATGCGTGAAGACATCAATGATGTTGTATACACCACGAGGTAGATATGACACTAGTGCAACGAAACTGAGACACTTGAATTATGCCATTGGTGTAATTAGATTGCAACTACATTTTTCCGTATCATGCGTTCTATATTATCTTATATCCTTACTAATTTTATAAAGGCGAAAGTTTCTATGTATGTATGGATGGATGTTTGTTACTCTTTCAGGCAAATACTACTGTATGGATTTTAATGAAACTTTACAATAAAATTGCTTATACATCAGAGTAACACACAGGCTATAAATTATACACATATTTTTATGTATATTTGTCTTTCTGTCTGAATGTTACGCCTTCAGCCTATTCTACGCAGACGTAGTCGCGGGCAGCAGTATGTCATTAATGTAAAGCGGGCCAATTTTTAAATGCCGCGCAGTATGGACACGCGTCATCATTATTAAAACATCATTGGTAGACATGACGTTTACTCACATATTAATAGATACTTTGTGTGTAGATAAAGTTAGCCCTGTGACCTATTTTTTACTGCATGTAGGACTGAAAGCATTTTTCTTTTTTAATTTTGCATTGTTATTTAGACAATCCGTCTGTTACATAGAAACGAACAGCTCTGAGTAGCTGTGCCTGTGAGCGTTCGCAATTTAAACACGAAATTTCTCGACATTTGACATTCTTAAGTTAACCGTGATATATTATTACAGAACACAAGTGACCCTAAAGGTTATAACAGCATTCCGACGGAAACGAGCCGCGATCCGCAAAGCAATGCAATACATTAAGCTCTAAACGACATATTGAAATACCGTTTAAAACAAAACACCGACCCAGTTTGATTAAAAGATTAATGTTTGAGGTAAATCGGAAAGGGTCTAACGCCGCGGTAGACAAGGCTCGAGAACTACCCAGTCACGTACATTTCGTACAACAACTATTACTTGGGATAGGATTAACCACAATCCGTTACTAGCCAGCATTAAAATAATAACACTCATCGACCCGATCATGATATCTTATAACATAACTTTTCTTCAGGCTACTTTAAAAACGATTTTTAGTAAAAGTGATAATAATATTTAACATTAAACGTACAAATATTTCACAGTAGTTTTTTTTTTTAAATTCATGGTTAAATCTACCATAACTTTTCCTCCTTATTCGTTTTCAACAAATAAAGTAAATCCAATCTTGCAATTAGCAATGTGGTTTACGATGACAGCAAAGCGAACTTTCTCGAACGCGTCAAGGCAAAAGTATCTGTATCTTCCAGGACCAGGCTCCGGAGAATTCGCTGCGAAGACAGTAACATCGATCCCGCAGAAATAAAACGTTGATTGTACAAGGCATCGGCGTTCACAAAACAAATTCCTCAGAGGCACAAGCGGTACACTGAATTAGACACACTCGTGATCGACTGTTCGCCGATACGATGTTCGATGAAACGTGAACGGATCACGCAGCGTTCTCATATCACACATGCGTTACTTGTACTAGCACAGCCTCTTAAGATGACACTAAGGGTACCGCAAGGGCCCCTTATGGAACCAACACTATTCTATATACTTGTGGAATACAAAACTGCATCAATTGCTTTGGTCATATAACATTTCTAATATTGTTCCGATATCCCAACAAAAATCATTTTTAAATATTGTTTTTATTTTGCTGTTTTTCGAACCTTTTGAAAAAGCTATTTTTAGGGTTTTTTTGTGTTTTATTTGGATGTGATGCAATTTGCAGAATTGGTGTCAACAAATAATCAATATGTTCTAAAATGTTAAGTAATAAAACAATAGCAAATGTAAGAATTGTATAGGCAACGAAGCTATAAAGCTTTACATATCATGTAATTTTATTGTTATTTTTGCCATTAAACGTTTAAAATGCTTAACGCTTCACTGAATAAAACAAATGGCTTTACTGCATTAACACCTGTTCGAAATTCAATTAAAGATATCCATTAAATAATCTCGAAATGGTTCTGAGGATTTATTAAAACGCACGATAAACTATATTGTTAATCATTACAGAGAGAAGCCGACAGACGGCCAACTGGAGTTCTCACAAAGGCAACAGTGAATCAGTTTTGATGCGTTTTATAGCTACGAGTGTAAGATAGAGTTTACGGCAGGCTTAAATTTGCCTCGCGTGTATTGTTAAAAGAAAGCAATAAAACATTTTCATCCGTGAAAAGGAACGTGTTGAATACATTTATTATGCGCATTTTTATACAAAACGCCACGAGGCTAATACAGTAACCTATTTATGGGAATGTCGAATACAAGATATACAAATTGGACTGGTGAAACGGAATGATTTGAGATTCCGATCAACTTGCTCGAATGTCGCCTTCCGATAGCAGGCGGTGCACGCTGTCCGACAAACGATAAACGAGACGTTGTTTACATGCTCGCGGGGTCTTTGAGGAGTGAATTTCTCACTGTCTGCGGAACAACGAAATGGGGCGCGTTCGTTGACATCGCTGTTATTCGCTCGCAAAAAATGCGCGTGTTGTAAGTGGTGTTCGCTAAAAAGGCGCGCAGACGGCGTCGCGGCGACGGGTCGACGGCCGCGCCCGGAATAACCAGCAGCAGCAGCTATATTTGCAGCGGCGAGGGGAGAGGCCGAGGGAGGAGGGGGGGCACCAGCGCGTGCCATTTCTGCACCAGCGGCCGGTGCATCTGAGTAATGCCATTGTAATGCTCTCGATATATCCCACCGGTGGCAGACGCGGCGTCGGCGTGGCCGCAGCGGCCGCAAACCACCGAACGGTGCTGCCCTAACTCGCCGGTCGTTAAACGCAGTTGACGGACACGCAATAAACAGCAACAAAGACGCCTCAAAACACCGCACACCGACGGAGCAGAATCACAAAATATTTACACACTAACTGAAACACAGTCGGTTTAAAGTCGGCGACGGTTCGGTGCGCTATTAACGGCATCACCGTTGATGTCATTACGGATTCGTTTCGTCCCCGGTGATCATCTAGATCGAATGTAGACGAGGGGCGTCCATGTGCCGCCTCTGCGCGCGTAGCCGTGGGAGCGGTCGCGTCGGCGGCGGCCGAAGTCATTTGTCATCGCCGGCTCCTGTCATTGCGCGTGTACGCATACTTTCTCACATTCCGCAATTACCTTTTAAAGGAGGCGAATTCGCCGATTCTCGCAAAAAAAACATTTAATGGAATGACAAACGATGACAATCAGGCCGTCGGTAATGCAACCGAAAGATATGTGCTTCGGAAAAAAAGTGACAGCACTTTTAAATGCCCACGATAATGTCACGAACCTCCTTCGTAAAGGTAAAGCGCTACTTAAGTTTTTATGCGGCAACGTACTAATTTTAAAGTTGTGTCTGTAGTTGAGAAGAAGCAGAGAGATAAAGGTGAAATATGTGTTTTATTATGTTAATAGCGAAGACGTGTAAGCATTAGGTTTCACAAGCGAACCAGGCAATCCTAATCCTGCATATTAAACTCTCCGATCAAAGATAATATAATCATAAAATTATAATATAATGTTATAACATAATACGAAACACTATGTCGTACGAGCCTATAATTTTCACACACATGTGTGCGGTTTTCGCGACAGATGGCTTATGAGTCACCAAAGCGGTATTTGTTTCCAACGTAATCGTCGTGAAATTGGCCGTAAATCACTCTGCTGGCTACCTGTCTCAAAACATTTGAGAGAAGAAAGCTAATCCCATTTGATTCGTTAGGATTTCTTTAACAAAAATTACGCCAGTAAAAGAAAAGCGGTGCGTAAATTACGCGGCGAAGCATCGCGCCTTGTATTCTTTATACCCAACTATATCATAATACATATTCCGTATAAATATACGGAAGATATATTTTTACACAGGTGTGTGTTAAAAAATCTCGAAAACTAGCTAGAGCTAACTAGATCGGTTGACTGGATCCGAAGTTCCAAAAGAACTGAAGAAGAAAAAACTACAGCGAAGCGGGGCCGGCTTCATCTTTTGCCAATCCGTTTAATATCTGCGCCGACGTGGTAATAGGTTCCGGTGTGCAGAATATTCGCGACTTGGTAACAGAACTGTCAAACTGGACAGGGTGACATCAGTGGAGGTACATAATGCCTCGAAATTATATGACATCATCAATTTGTGAAATAGAAATAAACGGACGGGACATCGTGACGGGCGAATGATGGCCGAATTAAATCGTGTGAAAAAAGCATTGGAGGCACATTAGAGGAAAACAACTTCGTGACTAACGTATGACCATATCCTTTATGATTATCGGTTTCGGCTTTTTTTAATCTGATGATCATGGTTTTAATACACGCTTAAATTTTAAACGCAATCTCAATGACATGTACACCTTTGGCATAATTCGAGCAATTTTATCAATGGATTGTTAAATCATCATGTCATTTGATTTTTTATTTATTGAGAAAGATTGAGAAATAAATGGCGATTTAACCGAGGAGTTAAGTTTTCGAACGTCGATACGTTTAACCCCGTTCAATCAAAGCAATCAATGAGTAAGACTCGTTTACTTCGACTTCGACTTAATACGAAAGCTCTGTATCGAATCGAGATTTCAAGATACATAATCTATAATAATTATTTATGTTAAAAGATCATACAAGATACAGAGGAAAAGACATTTACATTGAAATTACTACGATTACGTGCCGTCTTCTCTCTGTAAATTCATATTGAGTAAAGGAAAAGTAACAGCCGATATTAATTATAGATAGAGGTCTATAGATATCGATAGAGGTCTCCTTTGTGCACAGGGTAGGACATAGCCGCAACCCTAATGGCAGACTTCAAAATATTCGAAATATTTTTATTACAATTCCGCAAATATGCAAGTTTTCTCAAAATGTTTTCCTTTACCGGTGAACACTGGATAGGTCAGCACTTAAAATTGTAGTAAACAATTTCATTGGTGCCAGCATTGTTGAATAAAAAGCGCCTGGACACTGAGTCACCACGGCTTAACTACATATATTATATTTTAAATATATTTATTGGATATATTTATACGTACATATATTGCATAAAAATCGTCGGAAGTATGGGATCTATGACAATCAATTTAGAATGTGACGAAAACAGTTCATAGGAGTTACTAAGTTTCGTAATACTTGTGACGTAATGTTATAACATAATAAATAATATTTAATGATATTTGCAATTAGCCCATCTACAGAATCACACTCCACTGTCTGACTGCGAATAGGCTGAGCTCCGCGGTTTTTGCGATTAGAAGGGTTAGGCAGCTAACAGACATCGACACTGCCAGACTTGTTTACTTTAGTTATTTTCACAGCATCTTGTCGTACGGCATTTTGTTGTGGGGTAGTGCATCAGATATAAATACTATATTTATTCTTCAAAAAAGAGCTGTCCGAGCAATCTACAATATCGGAGCCCGGAATTCACTCAGAGATCTTTTCAAAGAGGTTAATATACTCACTGTTGCTTCTCAATACATTTATTGTAATGTTTTGTATATACGTCATAACCTTAATTATTACCTAAAGAATAGTGACAGACATAAAATAAACACTAGAAATAAGGACAAACTTACTACGCCATTGTTTCGTCTACAAAAAGTAAATAAGTCGTTCATGGGGCAAAGTGTACGCATGTATAATAAAATCCCACAGTCGATATTAAGTCTGCCGCTTGACCAATTTAAATGTAAAATTAAAAATCAACTGATGATTAAAGCATATTATACCATTTCGGAATATCTCGACGACGCCAATGTGTGGAGTTAATACTGTTGATACTCACGTAGGCTAGAATAAGACTATTATACCTGTATATTATATTGTACCCTGATATTTTTGAAAAAGAGCAACTGTTGAGTTTCTTGCCGGTCTCTTCTCAACAGAAACCGCTTTCCGAACCGGTGGTACCTTACGAACCTATACACATAATCTTTGATGTAAAATTTGACGATTCATAAGAGCGCGCAAGCGTCTATTTGAATAAATATATTTTGATTTGATTTTGACTGTCTAGAAACAACGACAAGATGAAGGCGGTGACATGAGTTTTTTATTACAACGCTTTTCGGGGAACAATGATAAAGGAAAATATCCATAGAGTTTCAACTGTTTTAATGTTCAGTTTTCTGTGCTTGGCGATTTTACTTGAACGCAGGACTTGGCATCATTAATATTGTCCAAGTCACGGTCTAAAACATTTAAAAAGACGCCGCTATCGCGATGCTCTTTCTCTGTTGTAGCTGAGATAACTGCATTTACCTTTCCCTGTCACGGGCGCACAAGATGTGTACAAAAATAAAAACCAGAACAACTGACCAAATGACAAACTGATATATCATGAGCACAACGTGAGCTACTGAAATTGGAAAATTGTTATATTGCACATCCTTTGTCCATTCCATGAAGTTTCATGTTATAACCCTCACATGTTCACTTTTCGTATTAGAGAAAAAGTTGAAAGTTTATGTGGTAATTTTGCTTGTATTAGTGAAAACGGTATGACGTTGTTATTACTAAATGTGTATTAACAAATCTTCTTTCCGTAAAGTATTAATGTTAAAAATGTGTCACAAATTATCAAACTAAGATAGTTTATTATTTTTAGTGATGTCCTTTTAAATATAACAGTTCTTTTAAATATCACTTTAACATCAACATGATAAAGTCCCATACATGTAGTTTTCTGTTATCGAAAATCAAAGTGGCCAATGTTGTATGGCACTACCTCTAATTCAAAAGTCGACATCATCACTCGCTTATCTTTACTATATTAGTGCTATTATATAGCATTTTTTATGATTCACTGTCTGTTTGGTGATTGGATGATCTGGGTATTTAGAATTATTTGCACATGTTGGGGTCATTTTGCGTTAACGTGAAAATAAATAAGTCGTTTAGTGTACACAACTAATTGTATGGGAGTGTAAAATGAAACATGTCACTTATGATGAAATTTTTCCTGACTTACGTAACGGTGCCACGTTTTGGATTCTAAAAATCGATCGATCGTATTTTAAATATCGTATGCGGTGAAATAAACATATAAATTTAAAGAATTAGCTAAATGAAAGACACTGAAATAACTATTTCCTCGCTTGTTGTTTTTTAGGTTTTAACAGTTTTCTCTAAAGTAGTGACAATAAAAGAAATAACTAACAATATCATAAGTATATTGTATACCAATGTAAATACTGTTATTATACATATTACAATGAAAGGACAAGATAAATCCCGTAAAGATTAACTCTAATACGATTGAACTTGCCCAAAATGCTTGAATGTTTTGCACAGCGAATACTATAACAATTAAAATTGTATCTCTTTAGGTATTACCCGCGGTGTCGAAATGAAAATCGCCATCCCCACTTGCGTTCCCAATAAAATGTCATATACTATACCCTGCAGATAGCAACTGATAAATACTTACAATCAACGTCACCAGGGCAAGTTTTGCAGCATCTACCCGGCAGCAGCACGGGCGTATCGCACGACGGTTCCGGGCATTCGTTCTTGATGTTCCTGCAGTGCACCTTCGCCACAACACGACGCTTCTTCTGCACCTATACAACGAGAAGAATGCCAACATTACACAAAGTATGAAATCGATTCGCTTTCAGCAAAATTAATTGATATAAATTGTCCGGTACTTCTTTAATTATCTCTTGTATAGGTGGTATAAAACAATGCGAGTAATCTTCGCGTTTAGAGGAGGAAGATTTCGGTATCAAGAGACATCTAATTATGTCATATGTGTGCGTATAGCCTTAGTGAAGCGATTAACATATCTTATCACGTCGGCATTATAAAAGATTGTTCAGCAGAAGACGAGTTTAGCAAAGCCAAACACTTCAAGTTACGGTATCCACTACACGGTTGAACTTTAATAAAAACAAATAATGCTTATTATGTAATTGCAAAATATGTTTAATTGGAGATTTAGTGGAAATAAAAACGAAAGATTATTTTGGTAAAAACATTATCTTAACACCGTACTATACGAATTAAAACAAGTGAATGGATCCATATTGACTACAACAGTATTTTTAATCTGCATTTTTATAATAATAATAATTATAATATCGTTAAATTGGTAGTAGTATTGACTCATACTCACCGAAATACACTCACATTTGATGCAGTACATTACCCCGAAAGGCGGGCCAAGGTCCGCGAACCATGTGGAGCCGAGCTCCTTCGCTTGTTTTCCGAACTGGCATTCTGTAACAATGCGCAAAATGATTCGTTAGAACACTGGCAACTTCAACACTTTTTTTTTCAATTGTCAGTTTGGGTTTGGAGAATCTCTTATTAACTAATCGAAAGATAATACTTGTACGTGAGACGGTTCGCCTGATGTGACGTTACAAATACGGTGTCAACCTTTAAGGAGTGGAAATCGGTTACCTTATAAGCAGGCGACATGCAAACATTCAAACATACCCTAACAGCTTAACCTGCTGCCTGGCTAAACCGCGAAAACCGAATGCTTCAACAATTAACATTACAATTGAAAAAGGAATCAATCTTCTTGTAATAAGAAAAAAATTTCGTTTACAAGAAATTTATTGATATACATTAATGTCCACAGCTTTGTTATACATCTGTTAAAATTATTAAACCGCAGTGGTCCCGTCAAACTGCCACGTACAGTCGCTAATTCGAATCCCACGGAACGCAAAGATATGTCTTACGTTGGTCGGATCTCGTACACGCTAAGATCACTGTTCTATTTGTGCCCATTGTATGACAGGCACGCCACCTGTCAAATTGTGTGACAATTGACATAAGAACTCGTTGTTTATATATTACTAACTTCGACTTTATTAAATACAAATGTTCCTAAGAAGTATTGAACAATTCGGAGTAGGCGTCATAGAAAAATTGTCTGTACGTCATGTCTGAGATGTACAAACATTTTCATGCTAAAACGGCCATCAACTATCCGTGTGTAAATCAATCTAATAAAAGACTTGTGATATAATATTAAACGTCCACAGTTCCATATAGGAATAACTTAAAAAGCATCGGAGAACCGGAACAAGCAATGCTTAGCTAGCCGCAGTGAAGAGACCGGGAGCAAATCTAAAAGTAAAAAAAATGTAGACCTAGCCATATAATATTGAAAACAACCCACTAAGCCAGATCGTAAATACGGGTAAACCTCATTTCTATGCGTAATGTTATACTGATTCCATTAACTTTAATAAGTTCTTAAAGCTATTAACCATACGTAGCTTAGTATTGATGGTTCTCGAAACTTCAATAAATATAAATGCACATTCAATCAAATCGAAGTAGCATCTTTATTAATTGAATATAGATAGACATTAATTAAATTTGAAATTATAATGTAACAAAAATTACTACTAAAGAAGTAATTGACGAAAGTACTCGGTGCGCATTAGCGGGTTTATTGGGTTAGCAACACACACATTGTTTGCTTTTATATCACGATCATATTTTAATTGATAGAACAATCGTTTCTTGCGCGAAACACAATAAAGTTAAAATTTTTACTTTAATGTGCGTTCAAAATTTCTTTTAGGTATTTTTATTATTATAAAACAAACACGAATGACAGCATTTAGGCGCACAGCAATAAATACGATCAAAAATAATTGAGTACAAACATGAAAGTAATGTCCGTAATAAATGCAGTGACCGATTCCGAATGTAAAATTTGCTATCAGATGTCTTAGGTCGATAAAAAGCTTCGGCCTCTATAAATAGGCGCCGCTGTTATCTCTCTCTCTAGTAACTATTTAATTAACCTCACTGCTCGAGTGTACTGATAACAAACGCGACGTGTTGCGTGAGAACAAATCGATCTTAAGAACAGTTTAAACACGGCCGGTCTATTCGTTACATTTAAATTTGATGCAAGTGAGAAGTCGCTTTATTAACCAGGTTCGATTTAATAAGGAAGGAGGGTGTTGGCGACGGTTCCTGGGCGCTAGATAAGGATGCAACAATCAAGTCTCATATTCACTATGACATTTTATAGACAGGAACGATTCGCCTTTTAAGTGGACCCATTCAGCGTTAAGTATCGTATATTGGTACAATTGATATTGCAGCATTTGGCAGATGCAATGTGGTCGTGCATTTTTGTCCATGCACGTTTATAGTGCCAAGGCAACGTTGGCATTGGCGGTTCGTTGCGACGTCCAAATGCGATACTTTCGCTAGTTTACGCGGCGCAACACACCTATGGGTGGGTCGATATAAAAATATCATATCGAGAATGATTTAGGCATATAAAACGCGCCGAGACGTCGAGTAACCTTCCTCCGTGTTCTCGGAAAGGCTGGCGCGGCGCCAGTGGCGGCTGGACAGGGAAATGAAGTAGTGGCGACTCCCGTCTTATGCTTCTTTCACGATCTGTTTATGGTAATCTGTACACGTTATGCGAACATGCGCATGTTCATTTTGATTGCGCTCGATGTCGATAAATTAGTCCGAGTGCAACGCGAAAACATCACTATAAATTAGGGCGCGCGCGGGCAATAACGCGCAAAATTTACAACGATACACAAAAATTCCCCTCTGTCGCATCGTGGATTCGGATGCGCCGCGATATGAGACGTCTGATTTTTCTTTTTCTTTTTAATAAACTTCAAACGAAGCTCTTTTTAATAGCGCGACGCGTACGTAGGGGTCGTTTGCGTCGTCTGAAGCGTGGCGTGCTTGGCCCCGCGATAGTAACGGCGCTGTCGTTCCGTTTATCGAGATATGTTTAGTTTTCATAAAATCGAGAGGCAGACACAGTCTCAACGAGGCTGTGACTGCCTCATTGAGGCTTGCTCGGGTAGCATAATAAATCGAAAACGTGAAAGGGTTGAAAGAAGCGTGCGCTGTTCTTCAGCAGGCGTGGGCAGCGAATAAATTTATGGTTCTGAATTAGCCTTAGGCTGACCATTTTGACGTCCAGCGCCGACGCATCGACTAATTTGTTATCCATATACATGAGAGAGTTTTGAAAGAAAAGCAAAATTCCTGAAATTAAACAAACGAATATTTTATAGCTTAATAAATATAAGTTGTTCCACTGTGCTTCATCCAACGGTGAGATACTCACAGAATTATCAATAATAACTTGATATATATAGCGGTCAACCATGTTATTTCGAATAAAAATTCTTAAATTTCCTTCATCAAGACAAACAGACTTCCTCATAATGCGATTTAAATTAGAAAAAAAGCTAACGCACTGCTCTTGAAATGTCTCAAGCAAAGCATTCAATAATATCGAAAACTCCAATACTACGCAGTAACAATTCTAAATGTAATAAATTACGACTCACACTCCCACTCCATTTCATTCAACATGATGCCAGCACTCAAGATATGACAGAAGTTTTATGCGAATCGATAAAATATTATACCTAAGCATTAAAACAATGTCATAACTCATGGACGAAATTATATAACATAAATTCCATTTCAAAAAAGGAATCTGAGTTTAATAACGGTTAAAAATCGAGGAAACAGTAAACGCTTTCCCAAAGTTCCAATATGTGTTTTTGATTATGCAAAGTATAATGAATTAATTACGCATTACGCCAATTAATATCATACGATGGACGCCAGAGCTCTATTAAAACTAAAGTCACCTTAATAGCCATTACGCATTAAAAGGATCGGAGCTATTCCAAATCTGACTAACCTATTAAAGGCACCAACTAATAACGCAGAAAAATGGTTTTATTATCGCCAACACGCCGCTATTCGAGTCCTTGATCGAATGAGTCAGAGACGCGACGAGACTCTGGGCCTCAGGTGTTGGCGAGGCCTGTGGCGAGGCGCGGGTTATGTAAAACGCGGTGGTATCGGGTGTCAGCAACAGGTGTCCATCGCCGTCGCTAATAAGAATTATTGCGCATCGATTTTATCAAAAGAGCTTACGCTTTAGAAGCGACCCGATTCGCATTCCGAATTCAAAAGAGCTCATCTCGTTTAATATCGGGCCAGTGTTGTGGCCCCGGCTGACGGTTCGCATTCTATAGTAATTATGAGGCCCCCTGTCAGGCTTCCATCACGCCAATGTCGTGATAACCTGATGAGATCTGCCGATCATAGCTGAGCGTCTCTAGGGCAATTATAAGAGACAAGACGGCAAACGAAAAGGTAGTTCACCTAACAATGCAAGGACTTCCTCCACTAAACTATTAGACATAAAACTACTGTTTGGATGCAATAGCGTGACTAATCTTTAAAACAGTCACCCTGGGTGCTTTAACAACAAAAAATATTATGTTTACTATCCTAAATATTAGAATGTTATAACAAAATTAGATCCAATCGTAACGGAGACATCATTTTATAGTGTCGGAATAACTCTACGTCACTTTTTTATGTACGAAGAGGGCAAAAGTGTAGAAACTGAAATGATAACCCCCTCCCATGAACATCCACATCATCTGTGAGATTGCAGACGAAACGCATATTATATATAACTTCTACTCTTCGTTATGGTTCTGCGAAACTCAATTTTATTTTTATTTATGCTTCATTGGTAACCTTAAGAAAAAAAGTAACAAAGGGCGGACTTAATGCCCAAAGGCATTTTCTACCAGTCAACTGGCAACTTTAGTGCTTTAGCAAAAGTTCATACGTGTAATAAACCCCTCTTGAGGCACATAGGATTTTCGTCAGAGTCTTTTGTAAACTTACTAGTTTATTATATCAATAGAAACCATGGACTCTTATTAAATCGAATTACTCGAGTCTTATTTAACGTCCGTCTGCCTTCTGTAAGTCAATAACCCTGAAATTTTTAAACAAATATTTAACACGTCAAATAACAAAACGCTTTGAATTGACCCGAAGCGCGGTGGGAACGCGAAATCATCAATTTATTTTTTGCGAGAACTTATTGCGCGCGTAGAAATTGATTCGACAACAGTCAATTAGTGATTGGACAATTGGTCACACATATTATTATCATAATGTATGTATACATATTATATAATCCTTATATAGCTAGCACCTACACTTCTCTTTCACTAACTTTCCGGTTGGCTGGTAGAAAATGCCTTATGGCATTAAGCCCGCCGTTTGTACCAGTTAGTACAAAAAAGTGTGTAAATAAATAAATAAATAAATAAATTATTTCAAATAAGCAGGAAACGAGAAAACGAGCCAAATAAGGTGTTTCATAAATTTTCATAAGTCACGGCGCACCTGGCTATAGAAGTCATCTCGGATTTCGCGGAAAAGCTAATCAAATAAATTACAGATTGTCATAAGATAAAGCATAATGCTTGCGCTTTTGAAGTAGCGACGAGATTAACAATTATTATATTAATATTAATTGCCATCACCTTCATTATTTATGTACTCATTTATGGACAACCGATCAAAACTTAAAAACATAAATTTAACGTGGCTTAATAAAATATATTGTATTCGTATATGAAATTACCACAATTTTACGACTAAATTGTAAGATTGTAGTAACAAAAGATTACATGATAGTGCATAGTATAAAATACGCAACATTTTTTGTACTTAATTTCAATCCTTATATTCCCTTTACGAGTATCTGCGCCCTATAATTGTTTAATTTATAAGACCATTAAAAAAACTTAACATTGTCCAACATAATTATCTCCTAATATAACTATCTAGAAAATTACCTTAAACTTACTTTTACTTGCTTACATTTGCCATTTCTTTAAACAATCATCAGTTACGTTATCTTGTTTTAAAAATAAGTTACTCCCACTTCTTATATAGACTTTCGATCTTTAAACGTCGAATATACCATACTCAGTGAACACGGAACGGCCGTATGCTATATATAGTATTTATCAAGATTTCTCACTGATAAGCTCCTGATAAGTTTCAGATTGGCATGTATTTTAAAGTTCATGGAGCAGAAAGACCATCTTTTTGCTCCATGAACAAAGCAATAAGTCCACAGTTATAAAATCTGCAAAGACTTAAATAAATATTGATAGTCCAACACGAACAATAGTGCTATTCTACTAAAAGTAAATGTTTTTAAATTAAAGTATTGCAGTTCTCTCATTGTTTCTTTCGTTTCCTACTGTATTTATTTGGAAAATAGTGCACTGGTTTATCGTTGCATTCTGCACCAGACTTTGCACCAAACATAATCGCAGACATCAGAATGAACGCGAAGTGCAGTAAACGTCTAGGAAGAGGACGAAAAGGGCTTGAGGAGCGAGCAAGCACGTAATCTTCTTTTTCACTTTCAAGAAAAACTTAAATTCACTGAGACAATTTGTTCCTTTAATGAAATTGAAGGGCGTTATTTTATAAAAAAAATATACAAACGCACTTTATTTATAACATGCTATCTAGTGTATTTTTTTTAATTAAATGAGCGTTGCGACAAATTTTTTTAAGCGTACATTTAAATATATGATTTATACGAATGAATCGCAATAACCTGTTTTCTGAATTCAAATGTTTGAGCTGATTTAGTAATTGCCCGCCATCTGGTGGGTCTAGATTCATTCGACAATTGTTGGCACAACAATTGCCTTTAATTGAAGCACGTAATACTTCAATTAACATGTAGTTAGAAGGAATCACATCGAATTGTCTATATGGAAGCAATAGACAATTGATTGGTAATTGCGAAGGCTCAGGAAAGAAATTAAATGAGAATATCGATCAATAATTTAATATTATCCACTTACAGAAAAATTTGAACAGGTGATATTATTTGAATATTTTCATGGAAAAGGATGAACAAGCAGGTCACTTTATGGAAAGTGATCATTGCCACCCATGGGCACTCGCAACACCGGAGGAGTCACAAATGCGTATCCCTACTTTGATGTAGAAATAGGCTCTCTTCACATCTTTTGCTGAGGTCGCTAAGTCGTATTTGTCCGGAAACACCGCTGATTTTACAAAAAAAAATTACAAGAAAATACAAAAGTACAAACAATTTTACGGTGTTACGAGTACATAGCGGTTCGAACTCGTTGTACTGTGTTGAAACTTAGCAGTAGCTCATAAAACCGATGGAAAATATAAAGAAATGTTTCGTTCTCTTGCCTTGACAATCCTCCCTTTGACCCCATTGACCCTTTGGTCAAGGAGATCGAAGACCTCGTAGTCGAGATCCGAGAAGTTTTACATTAGACGCTGTCAAATGTTAAGGTACCCCAGCGCAGAGATGAAAACAGTGTGCGGATGGATCTACACTTTCTAACCTAAGCAATGGGCCACCAGAAAATTCTATTACAGAAGCCAACTTGACTTCCCCTATCAAGTAGCTGCAAAACAGAACGTTGCTAGAAAACCGACACATCGCGTTCACAAAATGCACTCGGTTCCAGGAAAGTTTTCACCGCTTCCAGCTAATGAAGACAGCCTGCGATGCCATGAACACGTGTAACCTGCGTGATTCTCCTAGGGTGGGATCTATGAAGCTTGTGGACACGTGGCCTATCCACGGGTTCAGTGTACGGACAGAAACCGCAAACATCTATCATGATAAAGAAGATGATAAAGAACATTGCCTGATATGACAACGCCAAGAATTCCAATAGAATATGAACATTAGTTCAAAATATCAAATCAAATTATTATTACCAAAATATGTCTATTAATTAAAAACATTATCCTGTTTGTGGAAGAATAAGAATATATGTATATTTATCGATAAAAAATAAATGTCATAGAAAGACCAGAAAGAAACCAGAATTGTGTTAAAAATATAACATCACAGTAAGTCCTTAATGCTCCATAGCATTCGGAATTCACAAGATCATTTATTTATTAATTAAAGAAAACATGTTCTGTGTACTGTGTAAAAATTTTCAAAAATGTAGCCAACGATGCTTGACATCACTACAACTTAATATGGCCGACCACACCGGAGTACAACTGTAATTACTGTTTCTATATAAGTAACAAAAGGCTTCACTTTAATTATAGATGCGGTTACATTGATAAAAATGTCGGTAAAGTTTTATTTACTGTACAAGTAAATGGAATTCTCAAGGCGAGCGACACTGGCGCTTGAGGGCCTTCTCATTTTTCTCATTGTCACATCCTATTTGTTAAAGCCTCTTCCTTACAATTTCTTTGAATTCGTCTTATGAGATGAAAGAATTCTTCCTACTAATGGCGGGAACAGACAACCAGTTATCAATGACAGTTTTAAAACCGTCAAGGCTGACGTTGAAATTAGAATAGTGATTATATACTCTGTGGTTGAAATCTGATCGAGTGTTTCGTCATGATCCTCCCTAAGGATCATTAAATGGATCATTCGGACTGCTTAAATGTGGTCCATAGTCACTCTACGTTTACTCGCGTCTTTCATTGATGATATGCGAAGCATGGATGCTATTGGATTAAACCAACTTAAATTATTTCTATTATTAATTATTGCGGTTTCTTTTTCCCTTAAGTAGTCTTTGACAAATATAACTAAGAAAAATAAAAATTGTGCTGTATAGAATGTTTCTACACTTAAATGAACTAAACTACAGTAATGTTACGATAATATAGACCTTCTGAACGTTTAGTTATAACACATGGTATACGTAGTTTTCGCGTCGGTCCCTTAACAGGAATCACAATCGAAGAGCACAGAACTAACAGTTAAAACAGACAGCATTGAAGCCTATAAACTTCACTTAGGCAGAAATCTTTTGCATTCGCATTGTGTCCTGCATGCGTACTACGTTTAATACAGTGGCATCCACTTGCAAAGCGTGGGTAAAAACTTATTATATTTATTTCTAGAACAGTAAGAAGCAAGAAAAAACATTCTCGCATATTCCTGAATAAAGTTTAGCAAAGCTGTTTATTTTCAAAAATGTTTATTAAGGTTCTTTTTTATGTAATTGTAGTACTAGTATCTATAAAAATCTTTCGACAAATTAACATATCTATAAAGTAATGCGTGAGGCGAAATAAATGTTTATATGAAAATATTGTATTAAATATGTTATATGACAAATAAAAAACTGTTTTAATGACAAATGAAATTATATAGCAGAGAATAAATACAACGCTATTATTTTATATCACGAACACATAATAGACATGCAAATGAATGAATAAATTTATTAATAATATCGTCCTCAAAGCAAATATTCGGGTTAATTTCGAATATTGCAATAAACAACGGCTGTTGTGGCGCGCGTCGCGATAGACATAATATGTTATAATTAAAAAGGTTGGTTAGTTACAGAATTAATATACTTTGTCAACCGACAAAATTGGTGGTTTCCAATTCAGTTGTATGTTTTTTACCTCAGAAATACTTCATTTATGAACCGATTTAACAAATCGTTTTGCATTGGGTACCGTTTATCTTCCGTGTGATTCCATATCAATTTTATTGGGGCTTTGCAATGCAGAGATATATCAAAGAACTCCTCAAAATGAAATAGAAATTACAAAGACGGTTTTGTTTCTTGTTAATAAAAATGTACCCGTATCAATAGACTCGTCTCGCCTCTTATTTATTGTCGTAGACTCCATTGACTGCAAGTGGCGCCTTCGCGCCGCGCTTGTGACTGGTTCTTCCCGTTTTAATTCGCACAGTTCGGCCTTTATGCCAATATGTTTCCAACGTGCCGTTTGCAATGCGAAAACGCGACACAATTAATGGACGCCGGGCGAAAAAGCCGCGAAAATACACCCTCCCGTATTAAGTAGTGTCCCGTTTACCGGTAACGATCATTACCGTAAGTATTAGACAGCTTTATGAGGCGCTGACTTTTAAAGAGCCTCGGCCGTAAATGGCATGACACCGTATATGAGCGAAACCGAAAATTACTGCTTGGCTATTTTCAATTCGTTTCGTAAAAGATAAAAAAAAATAATTTTGTAACTGTTGATCGAATAAAAATAACGTTACACGGTAATGTACCTTAGAAGACATTTATTTTATTAGCTAGCGTGCTAATAGATGTTTAATGTCTATTCGAGAATTCTAAAGCGCGATATTAATAATTTTGCCACTTCATGTTCCTTATCTTTTCGGGATAATCAATCCACAGACCCCTTCCTCGAAATTGACTTGATAATAGAATTACTTTGATAATAGAAGACTGAATTGAGAATAGTGGAGGGCGTGGGCCATAGCCGCAAACATGTCGCATATAATTAATCGTCTATGCTTTTACTATAGTTAGTCGGTTGCGACTTGCACCTAATAAAAAGTATTCAAGAATATTTGCATGACCGGGCATGTGTCACCTTCACGCCAGACACCCGGCAAGCGGTGCATATTTTTTCACTAACAGCTAATAAATCTGAATCCCCACTAGTGCAGACCGTAAAACAAATTACTAAACATTCTTTTCAGTCAAAAAGAAACTTAATGTATTCCGGGACACATTTCTATTACAGCTGCCGTCTGTATAGTATTCTAAATTAACATGGTTCCAAGTAAATCGAATTAAACAACGACACGGAATATCACTTTTGCGGATTTCAAAAAATTTCAAAAAAATATTCGTTAGCATAAAAATTTAAATTAAAAAGATCCGTACGGAATGTACGGAACGTAATAACGGCTTGTAAACAAACAGATTAAATGACCAGTTAATTTCCTATAACATAACGCGACCTCGTACAACATAACAATCGGCACCCTAAATCATGACCGCCCACGCTGGTGCCGTTTAAAAAACCATCAGCGGCCCGTTAACACCCACACAAATCGTATGCCGCCTCACCTATCCAACAGAGTTATCAATCGACGAAGAATGCAAATTTTAATTGTACCTTGGGCCGACGAAGTCGCTGTGTATTAAGAAGGCAATGCATATGCGACAGCCCTGGAGGCAATGCATATGCGACAACGCGCCGAGTACGGGGCGGGGCAACGCAGCGCCGAGGAGGGAGAGAACCGCCAATTATGAATAAACTAGATACACTGCTATGTTAATAGGACTAAGATTTTTCCTCGACGATTTCACCGAGCTAGTACGCTCATTAATGGTTTTGTGACTACGTTATCAGCGCCTAGAAAGCCTCGAGATAACCCGTACCACCGTTGCAACAAGATACGGACTCGTTATTGCCGTCGACTGCGAAACGTGTAATTGCCTCATTGCAAATTCAAACGGCGAATAAAAGTCAATGCACGAAAATTTTATCATCGCCTGTTAGTCATATTCGGTTACCTTTTATAGTTGTTCTGACGGGACGTAAAACCACAGGCTATGTGCGCAGTGTACAATAACATGGCGGTACTGCATAAATGTAGGGGCCGTTAAAATTTTAGTAGTATCTTTGCCACAAGCGACACGGGATCTGAAGAGGCATAAAATAATTCTTTGTATCTGGAGTGAGAGTAGAGAAACTCGAGTCTGAGCGAGACGTTAAACGCAACTTTATATCATTGTCACATTGAGAGCGCAGTGAGTTATTGAAAAAAGTTCTTTTCAACGCGCGGTCCCAGTGTGGTTCGATGGGACGAGACAAAACGCGCCGAGACGGGCGTTGTCACGGCCTCGTTTCCAGGGCTAAATATAATTTCACTTGATCATTTAATTATATGGAGATTAATGGGAGAGTTGAGATGCCAACATTCGCGTAAATAAACTTGTACAATATGGCGTGAAACATTTACTAGAGAGACGCGTCGAGAAAAACGTAGCGTCGCGTCGGACGTCGCCTTTATTTACGTTTTTAAAAGTTGTTGTCGACTCGGCCCGCTACGCAGCGCGCACATTCGCAATTTTAAAACACTCTGTAAGGTATATCTTCATTTATATGTCACCGACAAAATCGATTAACATATTTGAAGGAAACCGTTTGAAGTTGTTTCAAGCGATCGTTTGATCAGATTTTTAGTGTTATACGCTCTGCGAACGCCCAAGCGTACATTCCGAGACGCTATGACGATATAAACATTCGTTTACTTTACAAATATTCCCATTTCATGACCATAAACTCGGTGAAATGACATCCAAGTTACGGCGGGGCTATGCAGGCAGCACGCATGTACACAAGGACGTAAACCTTCTGTAATTAGTTATTTTGCAGAACTAGTATAACCAGCTTACTTGGTGAGTTGTTCAAGAAAAGAATACGCATCGCTATGTTTACTTATCGCAACTTGAATACGAAACTGCTAGTTGTTTACAAAAATTATTGTGCACTATACGCAGTAACTTATGCTAATAACTTCAGTCTTGTATACATTGTAGTGTTATGCAAATTTATTGTTAAATAATTTTTATTAGAGCAAATTAAAATAATAAATTATTACCTGTTGATAAGAAAATAAAATAGAATATTCCCATAGAAATCGGTCTCTTTCCGAACACCTGCGTTTTTCCTTCAACATACAGGTCACATAAAAAAGGGTGCAGAAATCTTTTAGACAGATCTACACATCCGAAGCTGGTTATATAAGCAATCAATCTAAATGTATAAATTTGTATGCATTGAAAATGTTGAAAATTCAGCAACGAATATGAATTACGCAATGTACTCTAGATTTGATAATACTACACTACTATTTGATAATACTACATTTGACTATCTGAATCAAAATCCCTATTAACGATTGAACGGAAATTATTTCTACTATGGATATGGACACACCAATGAAATCAATCGAACACTTAAAACGTATTTCGAACATTTAAGTCATCCTGCGCAATTCAAACTCTAATTTGCAAATTTCAAAGATTAACATAAAAACTACATAGTTTTATTGAAAATGTACATTAACTTCATCTTCAACTCACATAATAATATTTTCCATGTCACAAAACCTCTTAGAACATGTCAAAAGCTCACGAAATAATGCATTTCTAACTGTTTAATAACATTACACTTGCGAAATGATTTCTAGGTCCCTATAAATTTGTGATAATTTATGAGGTGCTAAATAAATTTTACGGAATCGAAGAAAAATGTACTCCGAACGGTGGTTGTGTAGTTTATGAGGCACAACGCATCCTCCTATCGTAAAATTTCAATCTATATAGTGTGCGCATTATTTCAGCATTCACTCACTGAAATAATGCGCAGAATTTATATAATTAAAATAAACTGAACCGTCACTTTTTAAAGTTAGCATTTAAATAACAATAATCTTTATAGACGCAGACTTATCAGATTACGTCTGGGAAATATGTGTGACATGTTCGTCGCTTCCAAATTTTGGAAGATAGAGATATATCAGAGTGAAAATATGTTAAATACTCGTATATCAATATCTATTTGTAACATCATTTCTCTGCGTGATAGAGTTCGCAAGAAGACATCCGCAATGAAACAAACCGACAACAAGCTGAAGTGGCGGCGGCCGAGCCATTTAGCTCGTAGAACCGATAACCGATGGAAGAAAGGTAAAATAAAAAAAAATTAAAGTAGAATAAAACAAATTGACAACCTAGTACTGGCTATCGCATTGGAGGACGACCCCCCACTAGATGGAATGTAGACCTATGCAAATGTTTAAGCGGGAAGTCGATGGATGCCGGTGCTCAAGGTCATGTCAGTCTATGGAGGAGGCCTATGTTCCAGTTACAGTGGACCAAAATGGTAAGTGGCATCAAATCTTATTATCCTAAACAGTCGACAAGGTATTCGAATCACTAATGTTATATACCTACTTTACATATCATTACCAAATTTATATAAAGCCACTGAATTTTGTCCCTTTTACAGTCGAGAAATTGGTGAAACCTTCACGAAATGCTTACTATGTTAAAAGTTTACGTTAGTCCTTAATAAATACTATTTATGACTAATCTTCTCAAATTAACTAATATTATAAAACCATACATTTACCTACATAGTATAAAACCATACACACGAAAACAATATGGTAATAATCCGAAAATATCGCTGCGGTAAACATAATATACATACATTGTATTGTTTATACTTCCTATATTATTGTGGACATATTTAAAAACATTTAAGAGCTAGAAGTGGTAAGACAAATCCCTCATAACTGTGCAGCTAAACAAGTAATGTGTGTAGTTTATGTAAAAAAAACTAGAAATTGTATCTTTTATATAAATATGAAACTATGTAACACTTCCATAAAAAATATCAACTGCGCAAGCATAATGTATTCCCGTCACAGACTCTATTCCTTATTCTAAAGTTAATTTTGAGGAACACTTAAAATTCTGCCGCACGTTCTCTTGTAAATGCCAAAGAGTAAGTAACAGTAACGTGTGATGTTCAATGCAAGAAACAGATTTCTATGAATTCTACCTTAAAAAACACGCCATGTTGCAAACCACATGTAAATAATGTGATTATTTTGTTTCAACCATAAACAAATACGTGGGTAATGTAACGAATAACGTATAATGTAACATTAAAGTATTATTAACTTGGCATAGTTTATAACACGTAAAATATTAGAAACGTGCGTTATGTCACGTTTATTAGAAGAAATATACGTAAATATGCGCATCACTTTATTACTATTCTATAATATATAAAAAGGACTATTATATTAGAATCATTCTAGAAAGTATGGCGGCTTACTGCTAAAAGGGTTATTTATACGTGTTTGGTGACAGAGCGCCTCCGCGCCTGACCGTCCCAATTAAAATTTAAATTTGGAACCAGAAACTTCGTATCTACCTACATTTATACCATAAATTAGCTAATTATAATTTAAAGTGTCCATTTTTACCTGGATTAATAACATTTTTCATATATTATAACGCAGAACCTTTTTTTACTATAGTTTATGATGTCGTATATTCATGTAATAATAGCTAAAGTTTGCGTGAGCTTAGCATATTAAAATAACAAAATTTGATTTAGTTTCGATTGCGAAAGATATTATTTTAATTATTATCAAATTATACTATAATGTGCATGAAAACGGACAGAGTAAATGACGTTCACCTTCAATAAATGTCAGAACCGCGAGATTATCGCTAAATCCCCCCTAAATGCTGTCACTTATAGCCAGAGACAACAATGTTCGTGTTATTTAAGAATTCGAACTCATTTCATAGATGTATTTATGTTGTGAGTTGTGTTATGTCATATTGTGAGTTACAATGGTTCTAAAAATAATACAAAAACATCAATGAAAAAATATTACACTAAATCTTTCTTTTTCTTCATTGTCTTTGTAACATGTAAATATAAACTAAATAATCAAAGTTAACATATCATTATTATATCCCAAAATCCTTATTTTTAGTCTATAATGTATCATGCTACTTACTTTTCTGGCAAGTCAAATTCCAAACTATCTCGTCGTATTATGTAATACATTTTAAAAACAATGTCATATTGTATCTTAAATCTAGAACTAAGAGCCGTATAAAATTACATAACATGTACTTTGAAATTCTATATCGACTATGTTTTATACCTTTCGGTTTCTGGTTACAATAGAGGTCATAGATTATGCACGACCATCTCACACTAGACTAGACTCCTGAGTCATTGGACTTTAACATCTGCAGAATAAAGTCTATTATATGTTTGATATATGAATATCTTCCAGCTGCTAGCAATGCTTAGATAAGTTTTATAGTAGAACAAACACTAAAAATGCCCCATAGAATCCGCAACATGAATTGAATTATAAAAAGTTAGCAACACTAGCATAAATTAATATAGAAACGTCACAATTTATATTGAAATTGTATAAGCAAAACACACGATAAATTTAAGTAAAGATTTTTAGCAATAAGAATATACACCGATTTAAAGTTTTTTATAGTGCTAATCTCTGCACTTAAGATTAAACATTAAAACTTGTAGAAAAAGTACGAAAAGATTGTCACTGCTGTGGGAATCGAAACCACGTCTTCGGCATTCGCGGCCTGACGCTTTAGCCACTAAGCTAAACGGCTGATTGCCACACCGACGTAAATCTTAACGTCTTTTATCTACATTGTCATTTAGCATTTGTGGGTTCGATTCCCACAGCGGTGACAATCTATTCATACTTTTTCTACAAGTTTTAATAAATACACCGATGAAAATAATGCCGATAAAAAAACCATGATAACTCGGTGTCAGGGCGCTTTCTTTTAATTCAATATACTTACGTCAGCAACTAGAGTTCAAATCCCGGTACCAGCACCAATAAAAATGTCAATAAAAATGTAAGTACTGAACATCGTGAGGAAACCTACATATTTTACAATAATAACAAAAAAAAGTTTTGTAAATATGTGAAGTCTGACAATACGCGGTTGAGTTGTGTACCTTCTGTACAGTGGAGGCCTTTACCCAACAGTGGGAAATGGTTGTAATTTTACTTTACTTTTAATATTATGATGATAATGTGATCTTCACTGATGTACATCCATTTGAAGAGTTTTATTAAGGATAACTAGGATAAGTGTTTTAAAATGCTATTTCATTTACCTGTTTCTTCTCATCAATGCATCTAATTAACAGGATGTGTTAATTAGATGCATTGCAGATACAGAAAACCGAAGTATTCTTGAAATATCTTTAGGCAAATAGTACTCCACTTGTAATACATCTGAGGCAAAAGATGTCTATGGCGGTGGGTATCAATGATAACGAGGCTTGCTCGTTTGCTATCGTAATGGCAAACGTCTCCTTAAAACAAAACAAAAGGCTGGGCGTTATGGTATACAAGGATCGGCGCATGACTTCGCGCTATGCTCCAGCCGCCACCACCGTCACTGACGCGCCGCCATTTAAATACAATACCGCGATAGCTCAGTGCCGCACGCATGCTCGCATGCATAATCCGAGCTTATTCAAAATGTACCACATTCCCACTGTGAATGATCACTTGCGCTATCCACCCGGATGGGGGAGTTGAGCGATCCGCTCGAACCATCTTGCGACGTGGGCGGCGGCATAAGTTAAAATGGCAAACGGCAAAAGAACATTCGGCACACTGTCTGAGATATGCACCAACCCTTGAGATATAATGCGAGGAACACGCGACAAACAAGAGTTTCTCAGGCAAGCCTTCTAGAATTTACCGGCGTGCACTTACAAATGTCCGAAAGGGGCACCGACTGCGCATGTAAATCATCGGATTTCGCTCCAATTGACGATCAATTGGGATTAATAGAACCGAGCGCCGGGGGCGATGTTATTGACGTCGCGTCGTTTCATTGAAAACTAACGAACGCCAAGGCTACGATGGAGCGCTATAAACTGTGCGGTCGACGGTTGAAATGAAGCGCCCGCACAAACGTCTGCGTCTCGAGATAATGTTGAATAGTTTGAAATATGCTAAAGAGTTGACGGCGCCAGTGGGTGTAGGCACCCGCTAGACTGCGCACACTCACCCCGGCGCCAAGTCGTGCCCACTATTTGCATTTATCTCGACTGACGTCCGCCTCAGGACTTGGGGTAACCGGAGGTCAGTAAGTGATAGCGCTAAGTCACGATCATTCAATAGCAACACGAGCGCACGAATCGAAAGATACTCAGTTATTGACAAGGCTTATCGACGAAATTGCCTCGTGAGTATCTTAAGGTCGAAAAGTCGAACGCATGAAGCCTTATAACCCAACCAGTACGCGCAGCCTTGAAAATCGTGAACAAAAATACATATAACCGTAAACGGATACAAATAAACAAACCAAGAGTGAGCGGACATTGACAGTAGATGTAGGTTAAAACGTTTGATCGCTCGCCGCGCCTCGTCGAGATGTGGCACTTCGGCATTATAATGGGCAGACGCCTCCGCGAAACATAGCTCGTTAATGACATACGGTTCGGTTCGTTGACACCGCCTTTAAGTTTATCACTGGGCGTCCTCGATGATGATGCTATATAAGAGTTGAAGAGAGAGCAAAAACGTGTGGACAATGGAGAATGTCGGTGTGTTGTGCCCTCGATAGTGCAGGCGGTGTCGGCTGGCGGCGTTCCGAGCGATGCCTATTTGGGGAGCCAAGGGCTGCCCTATTTGGAAGCCTGCGCTTCGAGTTGCGATCGATATCGAGCAGCCGCCGCGATGCCCCGCGCTGCGCTCGTCAGACAACCATCAGCATGGTTGCAGTTGTTTTATGGAGCTACCGACACGATACCGTTTCATATAATCTCAAAAATATTTCGCTTTACTTCAACTCATACTTTTGCTTTCGGTCCGTAGACTGTTTATGTCCGTAGAAGCTTAATCGAACGCTGAACTCGTGAGATGGCCAGATCCCAAGAACTAGATGCTGCCCTTGGCGTTGGGTAGAGCCGCGCTTTTGCTTGTGGGTACTAAGACCAGCTCCTATTAGGAAACTCATCATTGTATCGTACGCTAACGCAGAAGCTGGTATGTGAACAATGGACGCTATGTATCAGTAATTAAAACCTAAACAAATCCTTTGTTTTAAATTTAATGAATAATAGCACTTCAATACGCATTCATCCATCCATCGTGATGATGAGTAGGTAATGATGCAGGGGTTGGTGGTATAGGCGCTGACCCAGAAGCCTGACCAATGCCTTTCGAGGCAAGGACATATTATGCCAGTTGAATATTTCTAAGAATCACTTACAAAACCAACCATTGATTCGAACAACACACTACTTTAAAGAAACATCGTTTCAAAAGAAATCAGAATGAAAGAAATGAACAGTTTGTTACAACAGACAATGTTAAATCCAAGAATGTCCACCCGTGTCGTTATATCAACGGAATTGTCAACAGTCGTTATTTTGTTACCACCGAGCTATATGTCTACTACTGTTTACCAGGCATTCCGCTCTAATAACAAATAACTCGTAAAACGTCTGAGCGTTCGCATAAAATGTGCCAGCAAATTTATCGTCCAACGCAGACATAGCGAACGTGTCGTATAATCGAGATTTTAAGCACGCGGAATATTTATATACGCAATTTTTTCCGCATAAAAAAACTTTTACAGTGAGAGGGTCACTTGCACAGCAATTTCTTTTTCAATAATGGGCAGGCGCCGTCTGGTAATTAACACACCTTTCAATGGACCGATGTCAACTAGAAGTATTAGGTATATTGCATTACGAGGGACAATCCGCATCGAGTAACGCGTCTGCAACCCTCAGAACGTGTTTTAATGTCCATGTTCAGTGGTCATCACTTCTCACCGCCAGAAGCGTTGGCGGCGAAATAATTTTCGTTCGCATTTACCGAGAGAAGTGTCGGATTGGGTAGGTACACGTGCCCTGGCCGTTATGCTGAATGGACGCTCGTTTAAGGGCGACCCGCCGTGTAATAAGTTACCGTCACAGCGCAGGGCAACAAAAATAAAACTGGCCAATTGCGTGCCGGCTTCTGAATAAAGTAGGGCTCCGTACAATTATACTAATGACATCGGTGACTTCAAACCGTTGAAAACTGCTTGGTGCACATTCAAAAACTCTTCTATATCGATTTCTTACGTTCTAACTGGATTGTAATATATACATTATAATGAATACATTTATTTGTTACTTTCACCATCTCAAATATTCGTTATAAAAGCAGTAATGTAAACCGAAGAGTGTTACTTGTTTTTGAAATCCTTAATTGGCACAGAATTATCTTTATATACAGCGAGTCGTTACCACGGCGACAATAAATGAACACACGTCTATCGCTACTTGCCAATAATCATAAAAAAATATTAACGTTAAAAAAATACATAAGTAAAAAAAATATTTAAAAAAAAAACTAATTAAGTAAAAAAGAAACAAAATTTGTAACATCTATACAACTACAACTGACTGATTCATACATTCAGAGACTCATTCGTTGCCACAGCGTCGCATTACAAGCCTCTCCTTCAAACAGTATGTTTTGTCTCTTTGAAATTCATTCAACACATTCGTTACAGTTTTATACGTAAGGATGTCCTAAAATTGTTTGTTTTGGAAAATTTAATAACTCGGTAAATATTGATGTTTAAAGAATGTAAATTTTTAATACAATTTTAAAAAGTTATCCTCTATATGTGTTCATTTATGATGGCGATTGTAAAAACACGCTGTATATAATTCTTAGTGTGTATGTCACTGAACTCCTCCTAAACGGCTGTACGGATTTTAATTAAATTTTTGTGTGCCTTCAGGTCGTTTCAATATTGGTTTAGATTCACAATTTTTTTATGTTATCGGATTTAAGTCGTGTGTACAGGACAACGTCTGCCCGCTAGTGTAATATAAAATGATTAGACGAAGCTCATATAGTCATGATAGCTCATTGTCCGTGCGTTCGCTTTTAATACAATATGCTCGAGCAACCCGAGTTCGAAATTGTTAATTTAAGTGCTGATTTATCACTTGCTCAGCGGTTCACGGAAACCTCGCGAGGAAACCTGTGTATTTTCGAAATAATACCAAAAAATATAATTCGCATGGTGGAACAGGCCGTAATAACCTCTGTACAGAAGTCTTTGCCCAGTAGTGGGACATTTATAGGCTATTACTATACTTTTATAATAGGCATACACAGGCTTTGGATGTTTCACGAATGGACGGTTCCATCCGGGTAATACCACGAACTCACAGAAGTCCGCCGTGAAGTGGAATTGTTATACTTCTGCGTTTCGTCGAGGTCGGAGGGGTCCATTTATATTATCCACATATATCCATAAGTTTGCAACGCATCTCTGCAAACCAACGGGTGTTCCGAATGTCCATGGGTGGCGGTTACCATTTAACATCAGGTGAACCGCCAGCTCGCTTGCCACCTTCTCACTTAAAAAAAACAAACTTATGAGTAAATGATATAAATAATAATAGTCGACTTGGCAGCATATTGCTGATCCTGACCCGATAACAAAATTATATTACGTGGAGAATGAACAATATATGTATAAATGAATAAATATTAATACATGTAACATTCAGAAATAATCGCTGTGGAAACTTTCACCAAAAAGCCCCTCACGACGTACAGGATCCATCACGAAATTTTGCGCTTGTATTTAACATTGCAGTTTATTAAGAGTTATTACGAAAGGTCTCCCATAATCGACAGCGCCTTTTTCGGAAGGCTGCCCTTTGCAAGCGCCGATGTCAACTGTACCGCCATTCTTCCCATGGCTATTGACTTCATGTGTTCAGGACAGTACTTTTGTTTCGCTTTGAAGAGTGATATAAGCATAGAGGTGGCCTTTTAAGGACGATGTATATGACATGTTTCTCTGATTTACTAAGTTCCTGTTGAATCAGAACTTAATGAATGCGCTGGCTTTAGTAATAAATAGTACCGACGTTCGTTCTATAGTACTTAAGAAGCAAAAATACGGTACTCACCTGTAGTCACCGAAATATTATACAGGTTGGCTTTTCTAAGCGTATCCTTTATTTTTATTAAACTCTAGACATAAATTATGTTATATAAAAAATGATAAATATTTCAAATCACTCGTAAGTAATTAATTACATTCATTTGAACTTATGACATGACGTGCGTCATTTATACGCAACTCAATTATTTTACGCGCGATCATTCATAACTAACAAGCACACAAGTTCGTGAACAGTAAAATTTAGGTATTTATCAATGACTACCGCATTTTCAACACGTTCTGATTTTTAGGGAATAGAATGGCATTTTCTGGAAAAAAAGCTTTGTTTTTTTATTTCAATAAACGATTATACTACCGAGTCTGAACCACCTGTATAAATTTGGGCACCTCTCAAAAAATCTCCCTGTATATTATATATAACTGTGTGTAAACATTCATCGGTGAAAGCTTTACCTTACCATATTTTGAAAAATAACATTTAGCAGTCTACTTCGGCATCCATTATTTAAACAAATTATCTAAAGATAGCATCAACATACCTACATTCTATGTAAGAAAGTTTTAAACAAAAGTTTTTTATAAAAACTTCTTTTTAACTCTATTCTACCAGTCTAATTTTTGTCCATAGTAGCAAAAACATATAAAATTAAATAATTAATTAAAGAAAAAAGATTTCTGACATAAAACTGGTTAAATATCATTATAAAAGCAAACGAGCATACCAATGCAATGTTTTGACAAAATTTTAAACCAATCGGTGAACTTTATGAGATTTGCGTGGTCCTACCTACTCGTACCTATAATCAACTTATAAAAATATGGCTTTATTTTAATATTAATCTATTAAACTTGTCAACTTTTCACATAAAAAAAATTAGAATAAAAGGAACTCATAGGCAGAGCTGACAAATGAATGAGCCAACATTGCACCTGACACCTACTTACGTCGAACGTCGAATAGGGAACCGAGCGGGACGCCCTAGTGCTATTATCGTGTCAGAACGTTGGCTTTATCTCTCAATTTAATGATAATGATTCAATTATCTCCCGATGATTCTGTCTCAATATAATGATAATTCCATAAAGGCGGGGAGGCGTCTCGGCTCGCGCGGGAGGTCCGCACCCGCGACGCTCGCAACCGCTAATTGCGAACCGCCACAGACACTGATCGATAACGCGATAACGTCTTAAATGGCGGCGCGCAACACTTCAATTCGCCGCGCGCTCCCGCCAAAATGCAACGGACAAGCGGCCACGGTGCGTCTCCCCGCCGCTTAAACGGAACGTGAATTACGTTATAACTCATTCGGTGATAAAGAAACCGAAAATAGCGGCTTCCTCTCGGCGTTGTAACGATTTGATCGTTTGGTTTTTTTTTTGTCGGTTGACCGAACTGTGTCGGTATGCGATACGAGCTTACGAGATGGGATCGATACCGATGGTGCGAGGTGCCGCGCGCCTCGACGCCTTTTTTTACCACGGCATGACCCTCGATAAACGATTTCGTCACTAGGTGATTTCGTTCTAATTACATTTAATTATTTCATTCGATATTTTTTATTAACGTTATTACGTTACCCTGTAGTGTTTTATCTGCAAAAATTCGTTTTGTTTACGTTTATTTATATACACAAGGGACGAGGACAACTTTTGTATGGGAGCATGCAATAACTATAAGCTAATTTAACACATTAATATACTTAATATCTAGATCTAAAATTTTTATTCTAATTATTTATGTCGTGCGCGTTATTATAGTAGAGTATAAGTTTACGTATCATTTAAGTATGATACTTAAATGGAACGTAATTTTATTCAAAGATACTATTTTATTTTATTTAATCATGAGATCTTTCACTATAAGTAACAACAAGTTTCCATCAATAAGGAGCCTTAACAGTATGAATGTAATATGAGCCGTGATAGCTCAGTGTCCGAGCGCTCGCTTTTATTTCAATACTCACACGCGTCCTGAATTCATATCCCGCTGCCAGCACCAAGGAATTGTTAATTTTAACTGCTGACTTATAATATGCTTAGCGGTGAAGGAAGAAAGACATCATGCAAATACCTGCTTATTTACAGGAGGATCGTACAGAGGGTCTGTACAGCGGAGGGTTTTGCCCTGCACTGGGACATGTACAGTCTGTTACTTCCTTTTTGATGTTTACGCACCACAGTCTATACATATCCCTTTTACTTTAAAAGTATGGATACATTGGAGATGTTAGGATGTCGAGATGAGATGTCGTTTGACATTGAAAAACATTCCGAAAAATTATCAACATATCTCAGATGGGACCAGTATTTGTGTTATATACTGGTTCCTTCTGAGATATGAACGACTCCAACTAATGCACAATTTGCTAAACCATAAGGTTCGCATATTATATCAACTTACCCAGGACTTGCTAATATAAAAAAAAAAGGTATAAAATACTTTACAGAGGTATTACATAATACGCACCGTTTAAGTGCGACAACCGTATGAGAAAGCAATATATGTATATGAAGTTCGCTGTGACTCAGAGTTGGGTGCATTGACCCTCGCCCTGCCCACCAACGCACACCTTTCCCGCAACGTTGCCTGCGTTCTACCAAAGACAAAAACACCAATTATGTAACAAACTTCTAATGAAAATACAATGCAGGTATCGACACGAAAGTTATCCGTGAACATAACCTGGAAGTCATATCGATGCACCAAACACCTAGATGACAAGCATCTAGGTGTTTTCTTCATAAACGCGTGCCTTCTGCGGTGTCAGTGCATCGTTCATCAGGGCCTGCGTGCGCGCGCTAATTTGCATACGGACCAGGGTCCTCCCGCCATCGATGGATGAAGGAGGGCCGATGTTGTGTCGATACTGTCACATGACTAATGGAGCGGGCGCCGATCACCGATATCGACAAATAAAAACACGCTGGCGCATCGCCGCCGGCGTTCCTCGCCCACCGCCGCACTCCGTACCAAACGGTGCACCCGTAAAACGTCTCAGAAGAGACTTTCCTGTGTCATGCAGTAGCTATGTAATACACGCTCTCCCTTAGAATTGACTTCAACTTTAGAACAAGCCACCGTTACAACCAAGAAATTGACAGCAGAATGGGAATTGAAGCCCGCCTATAGAGAAGGATACTGATATATTAATCGTGTTGGCAACCTCACCTGAGTCCTTCGAAAACTAGTAAGAAGAAGAAAAAGTATGTATAAAAACGACAAAAAAATCATGTCTATTGTATGAGAGCCCCACTAAAATATTTTTTATTCTGTTTTTTTAGTATTTGTTGTTATAGTGGCAACAGAAATATATCATCTGTGAAAATTTCAACTGTCTAACTATCACGGTTCATGAGATACTGCCTGGTGGCAGACGGTCAGACAGACAGACAGCGGAGTCTTAATACCGTCCCCGTTTTACTCTTTGGGTACGGAACCCTAATAATTTCGAACCTTTGAACCAACATAATTATAATATGCAAAATGAAAAAAAACGAACGAAAAGCTTTTTATATAAGTAATAATAATTCGAAGAAAAATTTTAATTAACTTTCAAAGAGTATTTAACACTAAAGATATTGGATGAATAAAGACTAAATAAAAATCCGTGATGGAATGTGATCCTTAATCATTGCCCTTCTTATGACGTTGTTTTACGTGTTTGGTCTATATGTTGTAACAGTCTTGCTTAAACGCCAAAGAGCTTTTCTATGATAAGACTTGGTAAGTATTGTTGAGTTTTTAAAATATGACCGGATAAAATCCATTAAGTGCGGCGTAAATTTTCATAGTAAGTAGTTACTCACGCATGGCGCACATATTAAGTTAAGATAACATTTTATGGCAGGTTTAACCCACATACTTGTAGTTTTCCAACAATTATTATCTGTGCATATATTGCAAGAAACTAATTAACATTATGCATTGGATGGATTCCATTGTGTCCGTAAAAAGATTCACTATTTTACAAAACTTTGGCTGTCTAATTTGGAGCTACATTTGTGGACGTAACCAATACATGCCGCAACCTACTTTTCGTTATTAACTAGTCACAGAGGAGAGCAATATGATGTGAAAGTATAAACTGTAACGAGCGATCGAGTTAAAGCGAACAATAGCGAAAGCGTACACGAAGTCCAAAGTGCGGAGGAAACAGCCGCCCCAACGAAGTGTCGAACCCAACATTGCAACGGCGAACGCCGAACGATGACCAAAAGTCGATTTGCGTCAATGGTGACGCGGGTACGTGTCGGCGCGGACGTTTTCGCGCGCCCACCGCCGGATACGCCCCGCGGGCCTTGCCAAGCCGCGAGGGAGGTGCGGTGCAGCCGAGGCGCGCAGACGGCGACGAGAGACACTTCCGCTTGTGGCGCGCTGTCACCACTAAATATACCGGGGTGACACCGAGCGCGGCCCGTAACGGAAAGCACAGCCCGCATGTCTCGGCCCTAAAGCCCTCGCCCGGTTCAACAACCGCACCCAAGCCGCCTAGCACGCGGTATGCGGCCGATATCGCGCGGGATCGAAATAAATCGCTAGGATTATTGCCAAGCGGGGAACCATTATAATATATTGGACGCGAGGAATTCGCTTTGACAATATTTTGACAGTGCGCGGTCGGCGAGATTTGAAACGGGGCAGATCCGAGTTTTTATTATCGTACATTTCGCTTTTTATTCACCTCCCGGCCCAGACGGCCCGCTTATGAGTAATCCGTTTCTGTTTAAGGATCTATTTCGATGCGGGCTGTTTATAACGCGGGAACGTCGTTCTATTAATATGGCGGTTCGTTTCGTTCTTTGTAATTTTAGCGTACCGTTTGGAGTTTGTAAACAAATGTGGTGTGATCTGACAGTATAGAGTGCTGTGACTGCATTAGCGAGTGTAACGAGACGAGTGCAGGCGGGCGCCACCGTTCCGTCTAATGAGAGGCAACTGTTACACCGGAATTACGACCATTTGGAAATAACCTTAAAGTATTTTCGAGCCAGAATTTTTAAAATCTATACATAAATTACGGAATTTTGAGGTAACAAACATAAAAGAATACAATCAAAATGAGTTCCACCTTTTTTGAAGTCTGTGAATAACTCAAAACAAAAGTGACTATTTACTAATAGCTATAATAATAGCTTTCAAGCGGTTTAGCGGAAACAAACCATAATATGTATTAAATCAATTGAACAGTCGAAAGTTGGAAGCGTTTTCATTCATGCGCCGCACGGAAACATTGTAAAAACGAGATGCTCTCCTTGCCATAAATCACCGATGTCGCACGCGCGATAAGCGCGACAAGAAAGCGGCAGCGGTCGCTGCGCTGAATTATCTAAACTCCATAACAACTCAGGTCGAAGTTGAGAGCTATTTATCGCTTCATGTTTTAATCTTGTAGCAAGTTTTTTTTACATGAGAAATTGGCAAGCGAGCTCGCGATTCAACTAATGTTAAATGATCTGCCGCCGTGCAGATGTATTGCCACCTTTGAATAAAGTAGGCCCGGCTACCTCACACACCAGACGAAACGCAAAAATATAACACTTCTTATTCACGTCGGTCTTCTGTGAGGTTGTGGTACATCCCCGGACGCATCTACAAATGTAATAAAAGTACCGATTCTTATGCCTTCGGTTAATTTTCTAAATTCCAGCTAAATAATAACGACTGATTTGTAGTTCCTGGGGAATATTTGATGTCAGTGGACCAAAAATAACAAAAAGCAAATTATTATTAAACCAACAAAATAAGTAAGTAACGTAAATAATTTAATAATTAAATAAACAAATTACTTCGTTTATAGAGAAACGCACCATCTTATAAAAAGTGTATAACAATACAACAATACAAACTCTATAAAAGCTAAGCTATAAAATAGAGAATTTTGCTACAAAATTACTCTTTTAGAATCACTGTATGTGCATCAAATAGACAAATACTTTCAGAGTTTTAATAATAAAAACTAAATAGAAAACCCGTTGATAATATTTTAACTATTTAATAAACATCTTTGTCAAATGATTTAATAATGACGAAAACATAAATGAGCAGGTAAGAATCTTCTAATTTTTGCCCCGCAATATCTTAACAAGTTCTAACATAATATTCTCTTTAAAAAAATCATTTTAAATAATAGCGAGTGTCGTCGAAAGCAATAATTTAGATGCATATGAAATCGTCGCAAATAATAACATGTCATCTATTACTCTCGAAGGCTACAATGTGCGGTCTCATCGCGTGCATATAGTTCAACGCACTATCATTATGTCCTGTAGAGCTCGGTTTAAATGCATTTTTTCCCGCATAACCATCACAAACGATTTACGATGAAGACGGCTTTGCTACACTTGTAAATATAGTATTCCTATACAAAGTCATTATGAACGCCGCTAGAGTTGCTGAATAACGTTGAGATAATAATTTACGTCCTTTAAGAAGAACTGATTAAAAAACACACGAAATGTCTTAATCTCTCAATTCACTTTATAGATGTTTTGTTCTCATTGGCAAGAATTTAGAACTTTTGGGCTTGCGGACGCAATCTCTCATACTCATATACTATTGCCAGAGAAGGTGTAAAGATTACATTTTTTTTTTATCTTTATTCATACAAAAGTCATAAACTTTAAATTGTTTTAAACACAAAAGTGCATTCTACTAGGTAAAGGCACACATGCCTATACAGATAACATACATAAAGATACAAAAGGATAACATACCCCAATACATATGGTATCGCCGTTCGCGTTTTCCTGTCCACAAATGACATAGAATCGCATACGCATTGCATCTACACCGGACATTCGCAAAGCGCTAACAGCTCAACGAGCGCTCGGGATATGAAAGTCACACTAGCGTTTATCCATAACACGTTTCGCGAACGATTGAGAAGAGTGCATGGGTCCATTACGCGTTGCATGAGCAAACAATCTCTCGTCGAGCCATTATCGCCATTAATCCAATGTTAAATAAGAGCGAAATCGGCATACACGACGCCGGCGTATTTGTTAGGCTCACCAAGAGCCCCGACGATGGGTAATCTCTGGAAAATTGACATTTGGCGCCAAAAGGAATCCACTGAGTGATTGTGAGTGCACCATTTGGCGCGAAACGCGGACGTATAAATATTTATCGGGCCCGGATTCTAAGTGGCTCTGTATTTGTACTCGGTTAAATATGATTTCACCACCGTGTGCGCTTGTCGGCAATTATTTGTGATATATCAACAAAAATATATAACACATCCTGATCACTTAGCAAACTGGTATACATATGAACAATCTGTAAAACAAAAGCACAAACTTACATCAAAGAAATAATTTTAATCAAACCGATTTGAATTGCTTAAGTTAATTTAATTGCCACGACCGGGCCCGACTGTGGAAAAGACGGACAAGGAAACTTGCATTATGATAATTCATCGCTTATTTATGCAACAATTAATCGGTAATCGATTACGACCTACACCTGTGTAGTCGTAGCAGGTACAAACGCTACAAAGTTAAATAGCGCGCTATAAAGCGGAGCCCTTGAGGTTTAGCCGTTTCCACGTCGTCAGCCCAACCTTTGGCCTTTCACTTCCACGGGGCACGTTGGTGAATTCCGTCTGTCATTCCCTGTCTATTCGGACTCAATAAATTGTTATCTGCCACGAGAAGGTCACTCCATCAATAGACGCCGCCGGCGCAACTGTCATAAGGGAATTTATTGATTTATGGACGGTTTAAACAGGAAGCTGAGCAACCGCATGAGATGCTGCTACTACGTAACGAAAACTGAGTCACACTGTTATAAGGTGGGAGACCATGATTTACCTTTATGCCATTGATTTACTCGTCAATAACTATATTTTGCAATAAATACGTACGTACATTTGAGATATATTAATAGGAAGGATGTAACAATCCTAAGACCTTTTAGGAAGATATTGATTATTACCGTACATTTGTATTTTTTTATTTTATGTAAACATTTGAATTTAAAGAAAACAAACAATAAATTTAAAGAAAATAAGCTTGTGTTATAAAGGCAATTTGAAAACACCAATTAAACAATTTAAGTATCCAAATACGGAGCAATCGTGTGTAGGACATAAAAAAACTCGTCCCGTGTGTGAATCGAACCCATTTACAATCACCATACTAAAGCTGTTACTACATTTGACAGCCGAAAACTTAACCGAGATAGCAAACACACAAAAGCACACAATAATTTAATTTATTAAAAGCAGTATATTTTAATGCCTTACAAATGACATTGGACGTCGCAATCCGTTCGCGGTTTTTGCTTTAACGTCTCGTTTCCTTTATTTTTGATACTGAAATGCTAAGCTAAGCTTGAAGTGTTGCGTATTAATAACGATTATGATAACCAAGTCAACAACATCGTGTAAAATTTAAGTCAGATTCTAATGATATTTTAAATTTGAATACGAGTCATTTATCAGGAACGATGTTAACTCTCTATTTAGTCTTAGAATGTTTACATGACAGATACTTTTGAAAACATGGCGCGTTCCAATCTAGTCCGTCATAATGTGTCGTACGCCAAGGAACTTAATCTCTTATCCTTTAAACGAGCAATTCTTGTATATATATAATCGGAATCTCGGAAACGGCTCCAGCGATTTTCTTTAAATTTAGTATGTGCGTAGATTCGGGGGCGATCACGATCATTTACACTTTTTTTTTTTTTTTGTACACAACATTTTCTAGTCCCAAACTAAGCAAAGCTTGTACTATGGGTACTAGAAAACTGATAAACATACTTAAACTTACTTTTCTTTTGTAAATAAATACATATTATACATATAGAAACACCCAGACACTCGAAAAACACCATGTTCATCACAATATTTTTCCAGTACTGGGTATCGAACCCACACCCTCTGGCGCAGAAGGCAGGTACACTACCCACTACGCCATTCGGGTCGTCGATTTCAGACCATTGCTTTCTTTATTTTTTATTTTTTGTTGATCCAGATGATTTTCTTATTTTTTTCCTTTTTTTAAAGTTGTTTCTTTTGTGAAAAACACCACTTCATAAAATATTATGCATATTTCATTACTCTGTAATTTGTATCTGAATGTAATTTCCAAAATACACGATTTACAAAAAAGTAACAAACGGAGCAAAGCTCGGTCCTCCAGGTACTGTATTGATAGATACGTGCAAAGTACTAACGCCAAATCACGCACAGTACGACTGTTAGGGTAAGAAATGCACCATAGTAGTTGAATGTACGAAGTTCGCACCATCTAAACGTGAACCCCAACTGCGTATTTGTGCAAGCCCGAAGGCACACACGCCACAGCGGCCTTTCTAACCCTAGCCATGAGTAATTCGTCGAAAAATTAGACTTCAGCACAGTGCAAATATGCACAACAACACGCGATGTACGCAACAGTTGTAATAACTGTACCGTAATCACCGGATATATTCAATTACACAAGCATCCAGCGTTTTGCACGCAAATGCAGCGAAACGATGTTTGTTCGGACTGCCGATCCTAAATGGGGTTTACGAGTAAACACGCCGCGACCTTAATAGAAGGAAGATAATCCGAGAGCAATATTGCGATGAGTCAAACAGGATGCCTATCGATTCTAAGATGATGAGTACAAGGAATAATGAAACGACTGAGAATAGCAATGCAGGGTCCCGGTCGAATCGTACGACGGATGCACGTGTTCCGCGGCCTACGAAATGGGCTAGCGTACTGAAGCGCGGCTTGCACTTCCGACTCGCATTCATTGCCGCGCCATTCATACAACCGCGTCATTCATTCAATTCAAGTTCATAACGCCGGCTACGCGGCAGTGCGGGGCCCTGCGGGCCACGCGATGCGCTTTTCGACAACTTGAACCCGTTGAACGGACGAGTGAATGTAAAAAAAAAACGCAACGCACAGACGCCCCAACACCGGAACGCTCTAAATCCCAATATGTGTACATAGCGCTAGTGAGGTTCCGATTCCGTCGCCCGTATCGGCGGTTACAAAATGGTCGGCCACGAGCGCTACGTGGGTCGGGCGGCCGCCGAGATGGCATCGCGCGCTTTCCTAACTTTTCGGGCCGCCGCGGGTCACGCGGGGGCGTATTGTGTGCAATTGCGGCACGCGAGGGCACCTAAGGCCGACGACCCGCCCCGCCGCCCGCCACGCATAATCCGACAGCAACGGCCGGCCGGCCGCCTTTGTTGGCTACCGGCTTAATTGGAGCCCGTGGGTGGCTTATGACACGGCAGGATTTAATCGTGGAGGCGCCAAAAATTCTACCTGCCCGGGGCCGCCGACGACATTCCTAACCGGCGCTGCTCGAAATTAATGCCTATTGTGAGGACGACCCGCGCAGTGTGATTGTGGACAACGCGTTACACTAACGCGGCGCCTTACGTACCTCCAATTCGAAAGCCTCCATTGGTGCGCATAAATGATTATTAAAATGTTTCAAACGTCCATTATTTTAGAGTAACGAGCGGCGGGTTTAATTGAAACGTATGCACTCAAACTCACCGACCCCAATTAAATTCGTGGAAGAGACTTCATTCTTCGTCGGGCGTTAATTAAGTACGCTAATATTTAATGAGAACACACCCGCGGTCAACTGCCTATTTTTTTTTTTCACATAGACGCTTGCGCGTTCTTATAAAACGTCAAAATTTTACAAGAAATTAACACGTTCGTAAGTTACCACCGATTCGGAAAGCAGTTTCTGTTGAGAAGAAACCGGCAAGAAACTAACGCTCTTTTTAAAAAAATCAGTTTATACAATATAATAGTACAGGTACAATAGTCTTGTTTTAGCCTACGTGAGTATCAACAGTATTAACCCCACACATTGGCATCGTCAAGAATTTATTACACGTTATGTTGGAAAAAAAAATATTAAACTTCATTTACATGCCTTCTTATTTATATTTGATCTTTTCCAACGTGCAAGATAAGAATTTGGAAAACAAATAATGAAAAATGAAGTGTTTCTTAACAAATATTTAGCTAATCCACCGAAGATTTGGGTTGCGGTGATTCATTTATTTAGTCGCGCACGGAATAATTTAACCTACTTTCTTATAAAAAATCAGTATATTTTTAATCCATTAAAATCCAATCAACGAATTAAAAAATACAAAATTATGAGATAAAAAATCTAGACTAATTATAAATGGCGCGTTCGATTTTATCATTATACTCAAATTAATAAGCGCTTAAAATTGTGAAATAATTGCTAATATCATTTGGATGTCGCCTATAGTTTTTTATTCGTTACAAAAATAAATTAAAAAAAAAAACATCAAACTTATTATATCACAAGGAAAAATGATAAGATAAAAAAATCATTCAATGGTTAGTGGCGCTTTCATTTCTATTCTGTCTACTAAACTTACGGCCTATGTCATCAACTGAAACATTGAGTGCGTGTTCTGTATTAATTAATAATGAATAGGCCGTATGGAGGAATCCCAGGGCGTTAAACTATAAAAATAGAATTAAAATTTGACAGCGCGATGGCGAATGTAGCCAATGATACGTATGACGATGCCTGGTGCAGTGAGAGCATTAGGTGGATTATCTGAGCGTAGTGCGCTTGACGTGACGTCACCCCGCGGATCGTTTGATACGGCCAGGCTCCGGGGCAATGAACCAGCGGCAGAATTGGACGCAAGTGTCCTGCGACGCGTCGCACGGTGCCATAACGCAAGGCGGCCACGATTTACGACGCTAGTGACGCGATGCGATTCAATTCAGCTAAAGTTGGTGTTGGTTTTTTAAAGACGGTACGGTATACCCTTTTAATATACACCATACGGCTAACGTCCGCTTTGAAAACAAATTAATTATTATTAAAGAGCCATATTTATAAAAAAACATTTCATCGATAATTGTTTTGTTAGATACTTACATATTAGACTATCGCGTTAATCAAAGCGTGCGATTGGCTTATTATTTACATTTATTTTTAAAAATATACTATTCGAATCTTGATTAGATTATACTTAAACGTAAAATAAAAAATCGAAATCAATACAAATCCCCTTTTAAATTTAAATAATTGATGTAGGGAATTTAAGTGCAACTTTTGGAAAGCCGTACATAAAATAGGCATACGGCGCCAACATTGCCGCGCAGTAGGCAAACGGCACATTTCAATTCCGAACGCAAATGGGCTCGTATACAAACAATCTCGCTTAATAACACGCATAAACATTCCAGAAATCAGGATTATTCTCGTAACGTAATTGTATTGCATACCTACTCGGCCGCTACGCCGCATGTAGAGCACCAATGCCGAATGATCTACGTCACACATCTGGGCTTGGCTGTGGGCTTGTTTGTCTAACAACGTTACCGCAACTCGTCACTAGGTGCACTGTGCACATAACTTATGTAAACTCGTGCGAATGACATCGTCTGGCAATAAAAGAGCATGCCAGTATTATGGATTTTAAGGATGTGCGTATAATTAGGGCGATTTAAGGAATTTTTTCGTACATAATACAGTGTTATTATCGAAATTAGACGCGATATATCAACACGGATATATAAGTTCGCCGGATCAGCTAGTAAACCCTATATACTAATTTACAACTCGTCGAAAGGGTGCTTATTATTGGTACGTCTTTAGTACTTTTCATGTTTTACTCAAAATCGAAATAGTAAGCGAATAGTGATTTACTAAGTAGTAATAGTAAGGTAGTTTGTTTCGGGTCCCGATCGTTGTTTGATAAAACTATTGTATATTTTTCGTCGAAGATATCTCGTGTTAAAAAAGATAATTACAGTACTGATAAAAAGTATATAAAAGGGGTGCAGACCGTTATTTACTCGACCATCATTTTAGTTTTATTTATACATTTAACGCGATAAATTTAAAATAAAACGTAATAATAAATCTTCGCAAACAAACCTGATTAGTTATAAAAAAAAGCTATAATAGAATTTATTAATACAGACCGAAAACGTTAAAAAATAGTATTAACAGAAGACATTGTGACATATTCTGAGATGAATCGCATAGAAGTCGTGATGTACAGAGCCTCACGATCCATACGTTGATGTTTTCACAGATTTTCCTGGAATAACCTAACCTTGTTATCCTTCCGAGGCGGTCGATGAGTAATTTAAATTCAAATCGAAAAATTATAATCCGCCTGGAATGATTTCTTTGATGTTGGCAATAACCTGGCTCGCGTCTGGCCGGAAAGCGCTCAGAGTTTCCACATTAAATTTATACAGATGCATCGAATTATCTTCAATATATGATTTACGTTCCTGCGAAATATAAATAAACATATAACCCCAAGAGTTATGTTTGTCTTTATAGAGTGATATGTTATCGGCAAAAATATATGTTAAGTTTAAAATGTTATAATTATAACTAATTGAAGTGTACATGCAGGATCACTTGAAGCGTGCCCCTGATACAATGTCGCCATCGGGTTACAAGATCATTTGATAAACGTCAATCGTTCCAAATATACACATTCGCAATGTCTAATTTTATATTTTAATTTATGCAGATATGAGATTACTGTAGCGCTCATTACATTTTTACGCCGTCATTCGGTGTCAGAAGTTTTCTAAACTTTTCTAAAATTATTTCAATATCGTCATAAGCCACGTTTACGTGAGATGCGCCCATGGGATTTTCCTCGTTTTTACAATAGATGTTTTATACAGTTACAACATAATTGATTACAATCAATTGCTTAATTAAGAGCCGGTTCTGATTTTCTCGATCAAGGGTGAAGTATATCATATTTAGCGAGAAAATGCAGCTAGTGTTCGTTGTGTTTGTAAGGTAACAGGCAATGTAATATTTAATATTTTATTTGATATATAGATTGTATTTATTGATAAGGATAATTTGTTAGTTGTTTCTCAATATGGTTTTACGATTATATTTCATATTTTGAGTAATTAAGTTGGTCTTATTTATATGCATATAATGTATATGTTGGATTCGTAGATCTTTCATATTTGGCAAACTGTATATTTCAAAATAAGAGAGAATGGTTTTTGGGTGTAATGTAAACAAAATAGGGGCATGCTCTCTTTGAAATATTCTATGCATTGGGCATTTCTAAGGACATTTCAGATAAAAAGTTAAAGGCTAACACTGTATCCCGAAATCTTTAATAGGTAAACCCTTAAATTGTATCAAGCATTTTTTTGAGCTGGAAAGCAAAACTTCTGAAACAGATTGTTTGATCTGTCTGTAATCTTTGTATGAAACATTAAAATCGTATTCAAATATTTGAAACTCGTGACTCGCACTTTGCCGGTTTTTACCTTTAGGCTCCAACCACTCTGTCTCTCTCTCTCCCGTGCATTTATTATTCCCACACGGTAGTGGGGTCTGCCTTTCCTGTCTTTCGCTTCCACTTAGCTCTATCCATCGCATCGTCATGGGTCACATTGCTGGCGTTAAGATCTGTTCTCAGTACCTCTGTCCATCTTATTTTTGGTATTCCTCGTCTCCGGGAACCTCGGATGTCCAGATGGTACGCTTCTTTCACAATGTAATCAGAAGGTCGACGTTGCACATGTTCAACCACATCACTGCTAATTTAAACAAAAACAAATTGTAAGTAGACAAACGTCAGTCAATATTAAAATTCAATAAACCACCAATAAAGTTACAAAGCTGCTCCATCAACAATTCATCGCTAATTTCTCAATCATCAATAACATTGAACAGTTAATTGAGTCAAATATCAAATTAATAAGAAAGTTGGATGTACCAAGAAGAAGCAGATTGACACATCGACACTGTTGTCATATTCTGACTGGTGCTGCAAACAGTCACTTAAGCGCTTAAAGACGTCGGTAATTTCGTCCGACCACAAAATCGTTTCATAGCAGATGGATACGTGAACGTATTTTTGCTAAGCAAGTGCGTGTTCCATCTGCGATTAAATCGCTACTTAAATCAAAAAGTACACAAGCAGAGGCTTTGTAAGGAATATAATTGAAATAAATAAGAATCATTTATTATTCGATTGAAATATTTCTTATAATTATTAGTCCAGGCTTGCACATGAGGATGACTACTGTTCAATAGGAAGCTACTGTTGTTTCGCAAATCTGTTAGACGATAACGTGCAAGTCATATACGACGTTATCACGGCCAATATGGAATTGTTCGTAAGTATTGCACGATGTCGTACGATTCTGCAATCTTATCCGGCCTCTGTTATCGACATGTGTATCGAATTACGTGGTCTTATCTCAAATATATATTTGTAAACGTTTATGCCATTTTTTCGTTGTCTTATATAATTGATATAACGAGGTTTTCAACTCATATCCACACGATCTAATCTCTATCAAATTAGTCGTAAAAGTGCGTATATTTGTTAAATTAAGTTACTTTTGCTATCACGAAACATTTGTGTCGATTCATTCAATTAATGTATTATTAAAAATTAAACCATGTTGTTCACATTACTGATGCTGCACTGCAGATCTACATAAGATCTGACAAGGACAAACCATGGTCACAAATGAATCACTTTCCCGTCAACTTTCATTCATTTTCCGGATCGGATGAAAGGCGTCGACGTTTGCCAAATATCTTAACGACTGTGCCAAAAACTGTATTACCGAGAAGAGAAAAAAAAACTGTCTTTATCGTCTAGACGGTCCGCCGAGACGTGACTGCTCAGGGAAGCTTCCTTGTCACGTCAGAAATTTCTTTGCCACCTTCCATATGGACTTTTAAGCAGGTTCTAATTTAGGATCTCTCCAATAATGCAACCTATGGCAGAGTCGTTCCTTTTTTAATTAATAATTCACTATATTTACAATGTGTACTCCTATATTGCCTATAATTTTTATTTGTTCAATAAAAGTAACAATACTTTGAAAAACAGTATGGTTAATAAATCCTCAACCATCTACAACTCTTAGATTCAAAAAAAATCCTTGTGTGGAACGGCAAATTTTGTTTTTTTATGTCATTAACAGAATAATAAATGTTCCTTACACCAAAAGGTTTTTAATTTAATACTATTAATATTAATATACTATACAATATAAAATTTGAGTTCTTTTTTCGTGTTTCGATACGAGGCTAAATGTAAATATGCCGTATCTCAATATGAAATGGCGCCATTAATCTAATGATAAACCATTCATGGATAACGAAAACTTTTCATATTTCTCTGTGCGTTTGTAAGATTTACTCTAGATTTCAATTATTTCATGACTCATCTATGAGTTTAGATTCAAAATGTTTAATAGATTTTGAAAGGTTCTTAATAATAAAGTCTATCTAAAATTTCGAAAAGCTTGCTATTAATCTTTTTAAAGTAATTTTTTAAGTAGTAAGCTTTTAACGTTTCAACATGAAGTATATTTAGACTATACTTATGCATATATATATTATATATAATGTATTGTACATGGTGTTTGTAATTTTTTTTAAATTGATTTCATTATTTTTTTTTATTTCATTAAAAAAATATTAGCATTCTTCTGCACTTCTTTTTATACAAACAATAAGTGTGAGAAATTTCATACTCCTCCATCCGCGCACTTTTCGTTAAAAGAGATAAGTATAAAGTTTTTGCTTCACGTAATAATATATAATTCTAAAAAACCTTCTATTGTTTCTTTTATAGGAAAAAAATATTTTTAACTGAGTAACTTTTCTATACATAAAAAATCGTACATGTTCATTATTATGAACGTACAATTTTACATACTCCCATTTGTTTTCTTACAATGCGACATTTCAATGCAACATCTCAATTACTATGTGAATTCAGTATCCAGCTTACTAAGGCTTAATAAAAATTCTTCAACAGGTAAACATTGTAACGAAATACTGTTGTCAATTGTTGTTTAATAATGAAGTCATTATAATTTGTTTATTTTAATGAATCGAATTATTTTTCATTACTATGTTAAATTCAAGTTTGCGCCATTGATGATTGCGCCGAGGAGTCGTGGGTTCGCTTCCGACACGGAACATGTCTTTGTTTGTTCCAGATCGATTTTTAATTGTTCCGAATATGGGTGTTTATTACCAAGGAAGCTTGTCAGCCGTTCGTATCTGCCTTATACCAGTAACAAAATGATTAACATTTTGTACCGACCCCATATTGGTGAGATATGATAATATCAAAATTCGCTATTTATATGACACAGTATCCGTCGAAAAGTGTTAAATGGAATTGAATTCGGACATTTAAATGTTTAATTCGAATGAACATGAGATTTCATCAAGTTGATTTTTATATTCATGTACCTACCTTAGTGTATGTATTACAAAATTAAAAACTCGAAACAGTAAATTATTTCTGGCAAACATTTACTATTAAAATTATATTTCTGGCAAACATTTACATTTTGATATTCTCCGACGTTTAGTTGATTATATTGAATATATTTCAATTTTTTTTATCAATTTCGATTATTATAAAACCCACAGATTGCTTGCTAGAGGTTGATTGTCTTCAAACACAACAAAACTTTTTAATATTTTATATCAAAATCTGTATGAGGGAGTTAGTAATACTAAGGATGTTTGAACTGCATTTGAAATAGAAATCTTTTTAGTTATCAGTTTTCTTGAATTTAATGTGAACTATTGCAAATAACATTGCAACATTCTTGATTCTTTAAACTACAATAAAATATATAAGCGTTGATCTAGCATATTAATTATATACTGGTAAGGAACATATAATGTTGAATATCCTAAAAGACATTACAGTTTCAGTTCAAAACAGTGTTATCATCTGTTGATAATTAATCAATCTATCAATCAATAGTTTTATATTGTGACGGTTAAATGTCAAAATTTAATGTAACTCAATATGAGTACGATATGTATACAAAAATATTTCCCTTACCTTTCCCACAAACTACAGACAAAATAACGTTTTATGATAATTTAGACAACGCAACTTATAGCAAAAGTACCTAACATAGTTTAATCTATACCTTGATAGAGTGGATGGCCGATAAAATGGATTATTCGCACTATCGTACAACCAAAATAGACCACTTGAAAACCTACTAGCATTCGTAATGGTACTGAAATCCTATCGCTTCTCTCACATGGCATTGTTTTTATTATCCAACATCACACCGGTATCGGCGCGATAACGACGGGTACGATAGTCGTATCGATGTTTCGTGGACGATGAGGGCGCGCCTTGCGGCTGCACGAACGTCCTCCGCCGAATGCATTGCAACCGCCTAACGATCGGAACGTTGTTACTGGTATAAGCGCTGCGTATACGCGTCGTTGCATAGCGACGTGAAAGCCCGAGGAAACCAACCGCCTTGTAGATGCCTGCAGCCTTATAGATGTCGACGGAGGCTCAGCGCAAGAACGACCGACGACGGGCAGCGAGGCAGCACGGATGCCAACTTAGAAATTCTCTTCCTAAATTTTGGTAGCAAATAATTACAATGCAAGTTTTTCAGGAGGCAAATTCAAACTAAAAGTATTTGTAAACGTTCGGAAATTCGTTAATTCGGGAAGTTTTTTTTGAACAGGTAACACTGCGAGGCAGTACTCACCGGCCGGTCGCGTGGTGCGCCGGGCGGGCTCGTCCTCGCGCAGGTCGGGCGCGTGTCTGCGCGCGGCGACCTGCGCCGGCGGCAGCGCCAGCAGCAGCAGCAGCGCCAGCGCGGGCAGCATCTCGCCGCCCGCACCTGCCCTCGTTGCCTGGCAACGGCGCGAGCTTAGCGGCCTCGCGTTACGTGAACGGGCGCGAGTTTGGCGGTTCGCGCGCGACCGGTACGCGTCGTGGTGCCGCGACGACCAAGTCGGACTGAGCGGAGCGGCGCGTCGGGCAATTTCCCGGCGGCCGCGGGCGAGCGGGAGGGGGCGGGTGCGCCCCTCGCGGAAAACGCGGCGCGGGCGGGGAAAATTGCAGCGCCGCCATGGAACCCGCCCGCCCCCGCCGCCCGCCGCGCAAACTACTGCAAATCACCACTACACCATTCAAACATGGTAGACACTGTTGACTGTGTAAACCGGCTGCGTTTTTTTATTTATCTATTTATTTACGTGAAAAGTCGTCAAGCTCATGGATAACATCTGCAACATCAGAGGTTGTAGATGCGTTGAAAACCTTTTAAAAATTAACGAAACGCAAAAGAATAATACTTCCACCTCACCTCTCTGATGCCGTGGTACTTTCCCGAATAACCCTACCCATTTGTGCAACCGCAGAAACTGCTACGTAGCCCTACAACATTTTAAAAATAATATAATTATATCAGCCGGCAAATAGCGAAAAACGACCCCATGTGCTGTTATAAGAGAAATACGAGTCATATCGGAATACGATACGAATAATAATGATAATAGAATACGATGTCATATTTTCCAAAATGATGACCGACCGACCGACGTTACCAAGGCTTCGGTGTCGGGGGTTCGATTCCTACACGGGACAAGTATTTGTGTGACCCACAGATAGTTGTATCGCATCTGGGTGTTTTTCCGCGCGAAATTTATGTTTGTAAAACGTCCCTACAACACAGGATAATGTTATCCTAAAGTAAGGGCAATGTTTTTTAAAAAAAAATGTAGCGCGGCGCAAGCAAATAATTGGAACAGACACGTTTAAACTTTCGTTATATGCGCTTAATTAAACTGCTTAATTATGGTTCAGTTACATTACCACGTATTAACACGGCCGTGTACTTGAATATTCATTGATAAATGATATTCCATTGATAAATGATCATAATCAGATCAATTTTATTCATAGTTTTTGAGTTACAGCAACAAATTTGCTACAAGATCTCCAGATCACTATGTCAATATCAACTATGGCATTAGTTACTGACTTCTAGGTGAAAACTGTGAATTGGTGTCATTTGGAAACATTTTGTGGCAAAGATTAGTTTTTATCTGCAGTACAATTCATAATTATGTTGGTATTGATCAGGATGGATCTATCAGGAACTAAATATTTATAATATTACAGGTTTTAACGTATTATACGTACGCCGCTTGCGTATATTACGTTAGAACCAAAAACCACACTACTATCGAAGAGATCAAAAAACATATGGGGAATCACAATATACTACATAGTATTAAATTTATTTTGTGTGTACAAACAAGTTTTTAAATGCTTGACATTTCATACTATTGCTATCAGCAAATATTTACAAAGCATTTCGTAAGACTCTTAGAAATAGAAATAATCACCGGATTATGATAAAATTATTATAGAACTGGACATTAAAATTGAATTCCTGTCTTCGAGTGTCACAATTTTATAACATGCGACGATTTCGAACATGCTGCAGACGTTTATAATAATTTACTGAATTAAATTCGGTGCAAAACAGCTCAATTTGGCAAAAAGCCCAACTAGGCATATTATAATATTTTATAATATATATCGAGCTAAATCTCTAGTACTAAATACCAGTAATTTCATACACAGAAGCTATTTATAATCGACAATTAGCTCGATTAAATTAGATATGAATCTATTTATACATGTAACATGTAAGGTCGCGTTACAAGAATTGTGTACCTTTCCTAGAGGGAAGGCGCTAACAATTGTTAATCTTGACGTCAAATGTAGTAAGAGGAGTGGAGTATGTTTATTTTTCGTGATAGTTTCGTTTTATTGTGATAACTTTTAAGAATGAACGATGCGTGGTCCTACCACTTTACTGTGGTAGGACAGTACAACAGTATTCGCTGTCGCACGAATGGGCAGGTCCGTCCGGGTTAGTACCACGACCTCACAGAAGACCGGCGTAAAGTAGAAGTGTTACACTTCTGCGTTTCGTCTGGTGAGTGTGGTAGCCGGGGCGCACATTATTAAAAAGTGGCAACACATCTGCAACCGGTGTTGCAAATGTCACTGGGCGGGGATTATCACTTAACATCAGGTGAAACTCCAGCTCGTTTGCCCCATTGTCAAAAAAAATTAACGAATAATAAAAATCCCACGAAATATACATGTATTGTTTATTGGTTTCACGATGTTCCTTTTCAAAAAGATTGCAAACAATTAAGCGATTCATGTAATGTTTCAAAGTGTGTAATCTTCTGAATATTTTTCGGATACTCGTTAATTATTATTATTTATTTATAGAAATTTTGGAATTTCAATATTGAAATTCTTCATACTAAATCTAAATCTTTGCAATCAATTGCTTCATTACAGTATTTTTTACAAACATTTTAAATTATTTTGTTTATATTATACAATATTCATAGTTTTCTTCACGGGAATAACAGATAACTTATTTAAAATCCCTCGACGTTAAAACAATTGCTGAATTAATTGTAAAGGACTTACTGGCAACTGGCGTTGTACCAACAATTTGAAATATTATTTGAAATCTGAACAGTTATCATAAAGATACATAATTATGAACGTTGCTTCTCGGTGAAAGTACTTTCGGGCAAAGGAAACGACTCCAAACAAACAAATTTATAGAACCGTATACAATATTCTCTCCTCAGAAAAATCAACCACCCAGTAGCCCCGTTTTTAGTTATTATTAATTTTGATTCTAACATTCCAACACTTGGTAATTTTTAAAATAAAACTAGAAATTCTTGTTTTTTAAAGGTTGTATAATTTGCAATTAATATACACAAAGTGATATGTACTTACATTACAGTGTTCAAATGAATTAGAAGTAGTGGAGACTTATAAAAACCAGCGACTGGCGCCAGTTGAAATCTTAGAACGCGGAGTTTTCCTAAGCGCTCCTTCAGATCTTGTATTCTAGTCGCGAAAATGTCGTTGTCGTTGTCAATCACAATTACAAGACGTTTTTTAATGCGTTGCTCAACGGCGGTTTAATTTTGTCACGTGCTGATGTTTTTGAAGCTATTGAGAATATGTCTTGTACGTTTTATAACTTAAATCATGTCTGTATAAACGAGTGTTTCCACGAAAGAGAGCAAATGCTTGCGTAATGAAAACGCTGTCAGTAAATAAACGTCAATTATAATATTCATACACACGTTAACAGTAGTCGTTTAGAGTTAACCAGAGATCGGAAATTTTTGCTTTCCGCGATATATCTTTTTTTAGACCTTTTTCGTCTCTACAACATCAAACGCTCATATCTACATATGATTACATATTATACCGCGTGTCGTTACCAACGCGACAATAAATGAACACACATATAAGGGATAACTTTTTAAAATTGTATCAAAAATTTACATTCTTTAAACATCAATATTTACAGAGTTACTAAATTTTCCAAAAGTTAAAGGTAAAGTTAAAGAATTTTAGAACATCCTTACGTATAAAACTGTAACGCAAAGTTCATTTGTAAAGGTCGCGATGGTAACGACACGCTGTATATTACGAATTCATTTTTTATCACTAAAATAACAACAAAAACCTTTATATATTTTTTATTATGATTCGCACTTTTATATATTTTTTTTCTAATCTCAAAAGATGGGACTGTGGAAGGGTATGCTTGAGATTGGCGGATTAAAACTCAATGTGGCGAAGACCCAGAACAAGGCTTGCGGAAGTTCGGATCCTAGCACGATCCAAATAGATTCTGAACCAGCCATTAAGTTGGGATCGTTAAGGTACCTTGGATCTATTACACACGAGTCCGAAAGCATCGACCATGATGTCCAAGCCCGGATACGCGATGCTTGGGCTAAATAGCGACAGATCACAGGTGTGGTCTGTAACCGCAGAATACCACCCAAGCTCAAGGGACAGGTATATAAGAGCATCATCCGACGAGTACTTCTGTATGGTAGAGGAGAGTGCTGGCCAGTTCTATCTCGGCACACTCAAGAGCTTAACGTCACGGAGATGAAGATGCTAAGGTGGATGTGCAGCGTCACGCGGGCTGCATACGTTACGCATTCATTCGAGGCAGTCTCGGGGCCTGAGATGGTATGGCCATGTAGCACGCCGATCGGAAATCTATGTCGGAAGTTACCACTACCAATCACTATTCACGGTACGACGATTCTCTAAAGCAACACGTGTAGTCACATGTCCAGTTTTATTAAAAAAAAGAAGCAATCATCATAGATGCAATTTTCACGCGCGCAGCTTTGGTTGGTTTCGGCTCATCTTGAAAGACCCATACGCTCGATTGCTACTTTGTTTTGGGATCGTAGCAATAAATCCATGTTTCGTCACCTATGTCCCACACCAAATTTGACGCTTCTTGGTTTAATCTGGTATCCATGTATACCAGATTCACCATGCATTTCATTGCACCAAATGACGCGGCCCGTTTTTTGAGCCTCGGTAAAGTTGCGTGGGATCCACCGCGAGCATACCTCTCCTCTACCGCGAGCATTTCTCACACCCAAATGTTTGTGTAGGATTGAATGTATTTGACTCATGCCTATGTCTAAGGATGCCCGAATCTCATGGTACCTACCATGCCTCTCTGTTTCGATCATACGACGCACAGCATCGATGTTTTTTTTTTGTTCACTGTGGTGGACAAGCGACCATCGCGTGATTCGTCACTGAAATTAACACGACCGCGCTTGAATTCCGCAAACTTGCTATAAATAATTGTCTGGCATGGTGCTTCATCGCCAAAAGCAGATTGACGCCGAGCGAGGCTCTGCTGAACTGTCAAATTACACTTAAAATTTTACCTTCCCGAGTTAAATCAATGTTAATGTAGACACGCAATTTTTAAAATTGCGCCGCAATGTAAAAACAATTGACAGTCAAGTACAATTGACAACAAGTAGACAAAGTGTTCCATTTTCAAATGTTTTAATATTGTATTGTCCGTTGTAATGTTTTAATATTGTATTGTCCGGAATTGTTCAGTTGGAAGTGAACAATTCCGGACACTTTTATTGTGACCTATGTATAAAAGCAATACGCTATTATGTTCTTTTACTGTTAAATTTCAACGACGCACGAGCACTTTGTAGTCTGGTACCAGCGGTATTTCCGCTAGTTTGAAGGACCTTCAGAAGAGCCTATTCATCACTATTTTCGGGACACTCACTCATTGGCCTTTATAAAAAAAATCTGTTCTTTATCATCTGCCGTTAAGAACTATTGTCTTAACGACTAGCTGGCTGCCTGTCTGCTAACATCAATCTTTCTTAGAAATAAACATTCAGATTCAGAACAATTATCTATAGGTCACACAAATACTTCTCCCGTGTGGGAATCAAACCCAAGATACCCGGGGCCGAAATCAATAGTGTAGCACCTGCGCCACCGAACCTCAGGCTAAGTAGTTAGCAGTCTACAAAACTTACTAATGAATCTAGTATAAAAGCCAAAGGCAAACAGTGAGCTGCCTAGGGTTTCTACTTTCTACTCGAGAACTCTTGATGCGACAATTCTCGAGAAATTTGTCTTTAGTCCAGACGGGAAAAAGCACCATCTCAAGAACTCGAGAAATCAATTCAGTTCTCAAATTATTTTAGGTCAATCTAAATTTCCGACATCGTAAATCAGGATAATGGAGAGGACCTCAAACTCCGCAATGAATTATTCGAACTTCTAATAAAAGGGCAAAGATCGCCTACTTTTGTAATAATTTACAAAGCTGTAATAATGACTGTTAAGCTAACTTCGACGGAGCTTGAGCGAGTTTTCTCGTTATCGGGAAACATTGACAGTAACATAAGAAACCGACTACTGTTAATGCTCTTATATTTCTGAAAGCATAATTATTTTATAAGGAAAAGCGTTCAATTCAAATATGATTTGACTATTTTGCAGGTTGCTGCTCAAATTAAAAAATAGTATTGAAAGTTAATTATGATTTTTTTAATTGAAAGATTAACTTTTATATTTTTAAAATGTTATTAACATAGGTAATATTCTAGCCGTGATAGCTCAGTGTCCGGGCGCTCGCCTTTAATTCAATATACTCGAGCAA